TCATCCATTTCCCCATAATATCAAGGCCCTCTGACCTTGATCCAATAATAACTGAAATAAAATTTTAGTATGTATACATATATGTGGATATTTCTGTGAAATCCCATCTTATTCTTCATTCGTCCTTCCCCTTGTGTGAATGAATGATCGAAGCTCCTGACCGAGGATGAAGAAAAAGATGGCCATTCGTTGTCTGTTGCTTTATGAGGAGACAGATGAATCTTGTTCGTTATCATTCGTCCAAAAGTCACTGTTCGACGACGTTCGTTCATTCGTGGCGAATCACAAGTACAACTACAACTTCCTTCCTTTCCAGCTTTGTGGACAGTGAGTGAGTGAGCTCCCCATGCATGCATTCGAATTCTGGAGGGAAATGTGACAGCTGGACAAAGACACCTGGCTAATTCAACCCTCTCTTTTTTCGTGCCTTTCGTGCCCTTGTGTTTGTCTTTTAACTTTTTCTTTTTTAGAATTTTAATTTTTGCTTTGTCTGCCCTGGCAGCCTGGCGAGAAGATGCTCGGAGTGTTGGCTTGTTTGCTGGGCTTGGTTTTTATTCGACTGTTGCCCAGCATGGAGAGATCGGGCAAGGCAGGGCTATCCTCAAAAAACACTTCTGGTGAAAATGCATGCGTTTTTGTGGAGGATACCGCTGGACTAAGAAAAGTTCATTACCACCCCCTTTTATTCCACAACAAATGTGACACCCTCTCAAGATTCCAACCCTGTAATTTGGTATTCCTTAACAATACCACTACATAAATAACTTGGGATCCTTTCATGGAGTGGAATGCAATCCTTTAATTTTGCTTCTAGAATAAGGTGGTTGACTATAAAAACAACTTGCAACGTGTCATGTTTTTTTCTTTTCTGCTTCCTAAATTTTCACTTGAGAATGGTTGGGGAACTAAAAGTAGAATTCCTTTTTGAATTGTTGTATATCATTTTAGGATATTTCTCATTATCATTCCGTGAGCATAAATAAATATTAATTTATGTGAGAAATAGGCGAACACAAGTTCACGTGGACCTTCTCACATCAGCACTGCATGTCAAACTCAATTGTAGCATGCTTCAAAATCAAAGACCTCGCCGTAAAGCAGAAGGGGGGGGGGAGTTTTAAAAATAAAATAAATGAGTGTGTGACAGCCAAAGTGGAATGAGAGGGCTCCCTTTGTAATGGGCCGGAATATCACACAGCCGGTGGCCATCGTGTCCACAGCACATTCGCTGACTGTATCACAAATAGAGGCCATGGTGGCAGGGATTTTTCTGCTAGAGACGGTTGAAAGGACAGTTCCAACCTGGAATCCACGCAGGTGGGTCATACTAAATAGAACATTGCCCCACGGAAAAGAACTCTGTCCACACAGGGTCGAACTATTACGCTTTTGATGGGGGGTGAACCGAGAGCAAAAATATCCTGGGGGTGGTGCTCATGAGCTTGCCAGCTGGACCCCTCACCTTCACGGCGACGGTTCTGCACGGAACCAATGGCATGCTTCGCCGCGGGTTCGCAAAAGGGGGAGATGTTGGTGCGGAAGAAGCAGGGCGTGGAACCGACCCCACCACCACGTCTGCCACGCCAGCGGATGGCGATGGACGTGGTGACATGGCCTCCAGCAAATCGATGACGTGGCGTGTGCACCCCCACCACGTGTGTGTTCTGAAGCGTGGAGTAAAGCTCACTCGCTCTCTCGCCGGTGGTACTACTTACTTGAGAATTGTTGTGCTGCTCTCAACTTCTCTCTTTCAGAATGACAATGCCTGAGTGAGACTTAATAGAGCATGTGGAGGTACTTTGTTCTCATTTGTCAGCCGCCCCTGCCACCGCACACAACCCTAGCAAAAAATAATAATATTGTACATTCATCACTATACCAATGAGAAAACATTTTCCCCTTGAAAAGTCATACTAAAAGCAAAAAAACAAAACAAAAAAAAAAAAAAAAACAATAAAAGTAAAAATCTTGTTCAGTTTTTGTTTTGTTATGTTTTGTTTTGTTTTTTTTTTTTTCCTTTGAGTTTTCCTTTCAAAACAGAATTGATAATTCCATGGGAAATAAGTCAAATGAGTGATGTGGAATGAGTGCCCACAGTTGAGAAGCATGATTTGTGTGCCATTTCCATGGGCCAATTTGGGAATGGAACTTGCCATGAAAACTCATGTGCATGGATGTTTCATATTGAATCTTCTTGCATGTAACAGGGGAAACTATCAAGAACAGTTTTCAAGCAAGAAGAATCACTCAAAATTGTTCTAAAAATCTGTTTACATGTCTTTCATAAAGTGTTGTTAAAAAACAACGTTGATGATGACAATGATGACTTTATATCATGAATACCACTCCAAGTATTATAAAGTTGTACCATGACATTCATTATTTATTAAATAAAGTGTTTAGAGTTTATGCAGAATAAAACACACTTAGTCAACTTTCAAACTGAAGTTTAATAAACTACTGAGACTGGTAAATAAATCTTCAGAGTTTAAGTCTTTCTTCATTACTTTACTTTTGTAACACATATATATATATATATATATAGAGAGACATGTATGTGTGTGTGTATATATATATATATATATATATGTATTGAAATGCAGGAGCTTGTCTACAATATTTAGGTTTAAATTGTTAATTGAATTATTTTTCTGAACTCATATGTTGTTTAAAATTATACTATAATTAAATAAAAATCACAACTTTTATGGCATTTGTAAAATGTTATTATAATAATAATAACTATGTATATCATTTACAATTTATATGTATATTACTTCAGAATATTTTTAAGAATTTATTTATACTTAAGTCTATTTTAAGGAATTTTATCATGATGATATACACATGACCACATTTAATACTTTGCTTTATAATTTATCTGTACTAGCTTCATGTGGTGTCTAGTTTCATGGAAATAAGTTAATATTTGATGAAAAAAGAGTATATGTATATATATATATATATATTTTCATACATATCAATCAATTTAAAAATAAATAGTTATGTTGTAATTTTAATAAATACTTATATTATTTATTTGTATTTTAGTCTTATAATCATCATATATTATTGCACTTTATCATTCAACCATAAACACAACTTAGAGTAGAACAAGTTGTACATACATTTTACACCTGAATTAATGTGCCCACTATCATCCAGTGAATGGAGATAATAAAACATTTTGAACATCAAATGATATATATATATATATACATATATATATATATAAACACACATACACAGACAATCAATTTGTTTTGAAAACAGTTTAAATGAATATGCTTCTTTTGCCAAGAAGGCTTCAAGCTAACACCTGTTAAATAAAGTTTAGGCCCACCTACAAGTACTTCGTCATTTCAAAGTTCCCCCACCATAGGACATAGTACCCAACATTTGATACTGAAGCTCAAATCTCTCAGTTAGATTGATTCCTCAAGTCATGAAATGCACAAATTCCTTCATTGGTTGATTGATGGAAAATTTAGGCTTCACAGAATTTGACTTGTGAGTTAAAAACACAATGAAATGGCATCCAAATAGTAGTGTGCTTAAAACCTATAACTTGTTAACTACTATACTAACAATGAAGTGGACAGGCCATTTGACCAAATCACGTGAGCTTGAGATTCAAAACAACTTATAACTATACCATAATAGACAGTGATAATAGAAGGGGTTGTAAAGTCTACACCAATGATGTGGGTGGTTTGAGTTTGGGCTATGAAATCCCCACCTTGATTGATGGAAACCAACACAGTGATGCCTTTGATTGTAACCATAAGAGTGAAAATGGGTCAAATCCAAAGGATATTGATAATGCCACGAATATTTTTAGAAGATGTCTTGATGGTTTTTTAGTAAGATTTATATCCATTTACTTTTTCGAATGCCCCATCCATAACCCAAAAAAACACCATCTACACCATCCAAATTGCATACAAATCTCACCAAGGGAAAAAGACGATAAGGTAAACCACAAAGATCTAACCGTTTCATGCAATTAAACCGTACATAGGTTTCTTCGCAGAAAAGAGAGCTCCATGTGGCAACGATGAGTAAGCTTTTTCCCTCGTTTTCTGCCCGGGAGCGCGTCACATTAGCGCAGCTCCATCGGAGTCCTGCCACCAACTTCCAGAAAGGCGGGAGAGTGGAAACTCCGGCAACACGATGAGCGAGAAGGGAAGTGTAGAAGGCATGGACAGTAGACCGGTTCGACGACGATGTCGCAGGCGCCAATCAGCAGCGAAATAAGTAAGCAAGCAAGCCGAGTTCGGAGAGGGGAGAAGAGGGTGGAAAAAGCGCTGCACGCGGACAAAAGAGCACTTCGGCCCATCTAACGCGGAGCAGGGAGCACACAAACACACACTTTCTAGCCCGTAGGGCTGGTGCGCCTCATTAAGGCCACACCCTGGCACCCACAATTGCGTCCCCCCAAATCTGGTCAGCACTCTTTTTTCCTTTTGCTAATATTGCAAAATTCCCCTGGTCGAAGCTTTCACCCGCTCGCTCGCTCGCTCGCCGGTGATTGACGCTTCCCATCCTGGTCCGCAACTTCGATGACGCAGCTTCGCAGCAGAAGCACAAACTTGCGAGGCGGTCTAAGCAAAGGAAGGGAAGACAAAAGCATGTAGAATTTGCTCTGCTGCGGGCTCAGCATTCTACGTGGGCGTTGTCCGTTCGGCCTGGCTCCAATTCCTTCTATTCCCAGCTCGTTCTCAGACCCGTGGGAGCGAGGGGAGCCCCCTCCGTGTACTCTTGAAATCTCAGCTCGAGTAATGTACACACGGCGTACATAGAGAGTGGGGTGGGAATGAAGGTAAAGAGGAAGTGGAATCTAGGAAGAGAGGTGAGGGGAGGGAGTAGATCTTTTGAGGGGGGAGGCCTTGTTGCAGGAAGGTAGCGGGAGAAAGGCATGACACATGGACACGTGGCGATGTGATAATGGGGGGCATTTCGGGGCCATAGTAGGCAGGGAAGGGGGAGGGGGGCAATGGGGGTTCTTTTTCTTTCTATTCCAGAGAGAAAGAGAGCTGCAAAGCAAAGCTGAAGCAAAGGGCTGAGGCAAAGGGTTGTTGTTCCGCTCGATAATTTTTCTTCTTCTTCTAGTTCAACTTCTATCCCTTCTTCCTTAGCGTTGTTGACGAGACCAGGCTGTGGACACACGTTTCGGAACATGGGTCCTTCTGTTTAGACTATCACATTGGCAACGCGCACCATTCTTTTCGGGTTCAATTTTGGTAGTTTAGAAGTGTGTCACCGCACGCGCGGAGTAGCGAATACGCGATAGCACAGACAGAGAGACAGAGACAGAGCCAGGGAGAGTAGTGGGAATTTATTCTTTGTTGTTGGTGAGAGGAGCGGTCGAAAGAAAGGAAGACAGCGAGCAGAGTAGAGTAGAGCAGGTGACGTCGAGGATTGCGTTCTTGAGGGGCATGCGCAGAAGGCGGTGTTGAGATTCGGCGTTGGGTTGGGATTCTTTTGGTGGCAATCAGATGCCCACCTCGTCTTGGTGCCCTTGCACGGGTCAAGCCGAGGATTTCTCAGTACCTTTGTCCACCAGAGGTCATAGATCTAGTCTGCTGCAGAGTCGATATACTCGTTTGTACGGTTTCTGTCCGGGGTATTCTTGAAATGGGGCATCAGGACATCCGTGTACAGGTTTTGATTTAGTTTAGTTTTTTGTAGCGTGGGTTTGTTTGGAAGAGGAAACGTAAAGAAAAAGCAGCCGAGCGGGAGGGTCATCTTGGAAGTTAAGAGTGGTTTTACGCCGGTATGAGAGTCAAGCAGGCTGGGGTACCAACATCGTCGAGGAATCGACGACCCCTTCAGCATAGTTTGTGCATGGAAGATTCGTTCAGGGCCGGTAGAGGGAATGACTGTTGTCGAGATGCCGGTTTGGCTGGAAGCAGGATGCGGGAATCATCAAGCGGCAGCTATTCGCTAGTCCGTCATAATAGCGCAGTGTTCGACCATGATTTTGAATCCAACCGGAGCAGTTTGGTCCACACAGTTAGCGAGGTGCGAGAAGAGATGCAGTTAGGGTTGCCACACGGCTCCAAGGACCACATGAAATCGGACGGATGTGGCAGTGATGGCAAATCGGGGCAAAACAACAGCAAGGGTGGATTAGTCAGGCAAGTTTCGCGAGAGTCGCACGAGTTCTCGCAGGAGACGTATTCATCATCTTCTACTCCCGGGAAGAACGGTCACATAAATAGCTTTGTATTGAAGAACTATTTGTTGCATGATAGGCGCACTTTGAGCCTCCCTGTGGGCAAGGAATACTCTATTAGCCAGTACGTGGGTCAGTCGACTGAGGTTCAGACACACGTGGATAGTGACAACAACTCTAAAAATGTAACATATTCTGAGCGACATACGAGCGTAAGCAGTTCATCATCCTGCGATGATGGTGATGGGTGTTGTGTGCATGACTTCGACATTGAAGCTGAGAGGCACTCCAAGTCCACTTTATTTTTCGAGGCTGGGTTCACACTTCTCACCGTCATGGGGGCTATGTTTACTTTGTATCTTTGTATACGGTTCTTGACGTCGGCAACGAGTAATCACCCTAAAGATGAGCCCAGGTTGTTCCGCAACAACTCTGGTGTTCTTCATGATAGCAGCAAGGATGTTGGCTCTCATTGTAGACTCTTTGTGAAGGCATGTCCGTTGCTAGGGCTGTTAACTGCGGGCTTCGTACTACTCCTCGGGACGTGGGCATCGGGCGGTCGGTTTTGGCGAGTATCACCGATGCAAACGTCGAGCTCTTGTCATTGTGAAGAGTACGATGAGAATCGACGGCATGTCGAGGAGGCCGATGAGAGGGTTCGACAAGCTGATAGGTCCAAGCAGCAGTTTATGGCCTACGTCTTTCATAACATTAGAGGTGGGTATCTGCAGAATGTGCCAATGCCGAAACTTTGCAAGTGCGACCCTCTGAGATAGCTTGGACATTGGGCCTACCTTCTTTCACATTGCATTATGCTTTGTATGCTTTGCTCATGGTTCTTTTCTGGTTTTTACAGTGCCTTTCAACGCCATTGTCCTGGGACTCGGTCACATGCGAGCTCTCGGAGACGGAGGTGGCCTGTTAGGAAGCGCAGCAGACAAGATGGACTTGGTTCAGATGATGCTAGACTGTGCGGAGACGATGACAAGCGTGCTCGACGATGTCACTGATATGGGTAAGTTGAAAGCTTCCTGTCAACCGTTGGTTTGAAACTTATTCACTTGGCGGGATGAAAATGCAGTGTACTCGAGGTGTTGCTTTCTCTTGTACTTATTCTTATTATAAATAAGTTGGCATTAGCTTTCTTTGCTCCGTCTTGTTGCAGTTTATTCGTGATGATTCTAAGGTCAAGATGCATTTTATGTACAGGTCAATGGGAAGGCGGTGAAATGGAACTTCACAAGGAAGAGTTTGACATTCTTGCCGTGATCAAGTTCTTATCCTGGGGCCTTAAGGATCTGCTGGAGCAGAAGGACATTGTATTTAACATGAACATCGACAGTGTGGCAAGCGAACTGCTTACATCGCATCGAGTGGTTGGAGATAAGCAGCGAGTAGTGCAGACTTTAGGTGAGTGTGTTTTTGATTTGTGTCCGTCTTAGTGTTTTGAAGATATGGGATTGGTTGGCTGTTTTTATTTATGCTTTTATTTTTTCATTTTGTCAAATATTTACCTTAGTTAGCAATTGTTTTTGTTCAAAAAAATCTTTGGGTTGTTTTATGGGAAGCATTTAGTTCTAAGTTTGTTATTTTCTTTGTATGTAGGAAATTTTTTAAGCAACGCTGTCAAGTTTACGCCGTCTGGAGGCAGATTGGATTTGGACCTACAGTGTGAGGAGGTTGTGGGGAACACAAGTTTTGAAGATCACATCGCACATCCTAATCCGTCTCCTCAAACAAGTGAGGGGCCTTTACTAGGAGCTGCTGGCATCCAAATATTGTCAAAAACTTCATCACAAATTAAAACTGGCGAGGGGAAAGTGGCGAAGTTGCGGCTCTCTGTGAAAGACAACGGAATCGGTAAGCTAAATCTGAATTGTAAAGATGGAAGCAGGTGCTGTGAAACTTTGTTTGTTTCTTTTCATCGGGTTTCCGTTCAAGTTTGGCATGTTTTGTGTTCAAGTTCTCAAGTTTGAGCGTTGGTTTGTGCAGGAATTTCCGCTCAAGATCAGGCAAAGCTGTTCGAACCATATTCGTTTGTTACTTCAGGATGGGTTCTGAAGGCCGGTGTTTCTGGATTGGGTCTTAGCATGGCAAAAAGGTTTGTTGAGCGAGCTGGCGGCAATATCGGAGTAGAATCTGAAGAAGGCAGTGGCAGTACCTTTTTCTTCTCCCTTCCTTTTCCGCTTGTGGCAGTGGATGTGAGTAACGAGCGAGAGCAAGTGAAGTCGGATGGAGGAGCACCCGTGCTTCAGAAGTCAGAGGTCACTCAATCAATGGACAGTTCAGGCGTGACAGTTGTGCACGAATCAATCACATTATCAAGAAGACGATCGAATTTGAAAGAAGATTTGAAACCGGCTGTGAAAACGAAAATGACCAATAAAGTACCTAATGAAAATGTGAATAGTGATATATCTGATAGCTGCGCAAAGAAATCTAAGCACGATGGGTTAGACGGACGTCAAAGAAAAATATTACTTGTTGAAGATACACGAATTAATAGAGTAAGTTTTGTCCCTTCAAACTATTTTCCACCTACTATTAAGAATAATCTCTAGGAGTTTTGGTATGTTGCCTATGCGTTGCTAATTCTGCGGGCTTGTATTATTGTTCTCTTTGTCACTATTTTTTGAATTCATTTCGAATTCTCACTGTTTCTCTTCTTTTTTTCTTTTTTCTTTTTTCCTTTTGCAGATAATTCTACGAAAGGTGTTACAAAATCTGAATCTGCTGTGTGATGAAGCCGAGAATGGTCAAATAGCAATAGATTTTCACAAACAAGGAAGGACATATGACCTTGTCCTCATGGATAAAGAGATGCCAGTGATGGATGGCCATGAGGCTACAAGACAGTTGCGAAATATGGGAGTGAAAACTCCAATTGTTGCATTGACTGGAAACGCGTTGACAACGGATAGAGAAATGTTTTTCGAAGCCGGTGTCGATGATTTTCAAACTAAGGTACATATTTCACTCAAGTGTAGCAAATGGATGGCTACTCCATTACAAGTTTATCAAATAGTTGCCATTGTGCGTTTATGTTGTCCCGAAGAATCTTACTCAGCGTCTTTCTTATGTGATACAGCCTCTATCAAGAGACAAACTTGTACAGCTGTTGGCACGGTATGGAGTGGAAAATTCGTCTTCGAAGTCTTCATATTCATCAAAAATGGTGTGATTGCAAACCATCCCAGATTTCGGGGACCGGGGTTGCTCAGCTTTTGCTTTTTTGCCCCATGTAACATATGTTTGGGAATGATTCCTTCATTAAGGTTCTTAGTGGAGTAGGAAGAGGATCTTTTTTGGGAGTAATTGCTCCTGACGCTGATGGAATTAGGAGATGCATACGACTGCCTGTCCATTCCTTTGGTTTTTTTTTACTCCGGCAAAGTCATTGCAGTTTTGGACTCTCGAATTCTTGCTAATCAATGCTGGATTGTTTAGACCACGTTAGAATTTCATAGTTGGCACTGGACTTGTGGGGTTGTGTCTTAATTCTTATAAAAGGTCTGACTCTTATTTCTATCGATTGTGTGGGCATTGTTATTTAGTGCTTGTTGTGATCAGTAACTGTGTTCTGAGTTGTGTACATTGGAATGGATGGGTTTTTTGTTGAATGCTCGCTGATATTTCAGTTTTCAATTTCAGTCTCGAAATAACACATGATCTAATTTTAAGTCATTAAGAGATAGTATTATGGAAGCTTCGTATGTGATGCATTTACAAAAATATATTCTCCAAGCTTACATGCGGCGTATTATCTCCTGCTCAGTGTTTCCACTATGATGTAAGGCGTGTCGATAGTATTGAAGTGGTTCCTTCTCTCCTTTGTCTATCACACTTCACAGTGTGATGGCATCTCCTCCGTACATAGTGTATTGTGACAGAGCCTTAAAAGTTGTCAGATTGGTTACTACTTAGAATTATGGATGTAGGTAGCTCAGTGTAGAAACGCTCGTTCAGATACCGAAGTTGCTCTTCCTCATGTACTTGGTCTTTCCAGCTTCAGCAAGCTTGGCTTGACATTATTTAGATGAGGCGGCAGGGTTTCGGTGATGATTCAAAACAATCCAAATCACTGCAGAATGAACATTGAACTCTTCAACTAATTTGACAATCACAAGAGAATTGTTTCTTAGTGGCTCCTCAGCATCACTCGAAAACAAAACCTCAAGTTTCGTTAATGGTTAGTTATATAGGTTCCCTTCAATTAGCGGTTGGCAGATTGAAACACTTTGTAACAGCTTTTGAGGTAAAATTTTCTACAACAAAAAACCCCAGAGTAGTCATATAACGCCCACTGTCTTGACAAAGTAATGCATATATTCATGCTGAGCAGTGTATCAACGACCGATGTCACAGCACACCTGCACTTTCAGCCGAGAGAAACATTCCGTTGATTATATTATCCATCCAACTGTGGATGTAAATCCTTCGGATAGGAATCGTCATCCAGGAGGTCGAGTGCGCCATGGCACACCAGAAAACCATCGCAGCACTCCCGTCACTGCGCTTCGTGAATTCATTGAGATAGGCTGTCACGGCGATTGCGTGCGATGGGTATCTGTGCATTGGGTGTTTCATCTTTAGAACTGCTGTACAGTAGGCAATTTTTTTTTTGCATGTTTGTGGATAAGCAACAATGGTAAAGCTCAGTGCAATTGTTGGGATCATCTTGAGGTGCTATGATTTCGTGAGAATGTGCTAGAATTGGGTATCGAGGAGTTGAGCAGCGCGGGATTGACGTGGGTTTGCTGCTTTGTTTGCACATGCGAAGACTAGGCGCAAGGGTGAGAAGTGATTTGGCGCAGCGGGGGTGGAATTGAGGAAGGAGAGTGGGGTTTAGGGTTTTTTCAAGGTATACCAAGATGAATAAGGTGAATGTAGAGCGCGTGCTGGCCGTGGTGAAGCAGAGGTCCGGGGAGTTTATGGGTGCAGTCAAGGATACAGCCTTGGAATTGTCATGGGATGTGCGTGATGCAGCGGATGCGGGCTTTGGCGTGCCCAGGCTCATTTCCAATGTTGCATCCCTTTCCGTGGCGGTATGCGCTTTCTGGATTGTATTGGTGATTGGGCGTAGTTTTGGGTTTATGATAGATTACGCGGAAATTTGGAATCGAGGGGTGGGACTTTGGTATGGGAAGTGAGGCCTGTAATTTGATGAGAATGTCAATGTGGACAGGTTGTGGCAGCCTCAGGAACAGCAGCTATTGCATTGGATGGCGTTGGCAAAGTGTTTGGCAAAAGGTTAATATGGTGTTTAGGTCGAGAAAAGGCCGATTATGTTTTCTCAAGTGTTTACTAAGCAGTGGTTTATTTCAACAAACTGGATGATAAAAAGCTGAAATATGGATTTTTAGGCTGGCTCGTTTAGTTCGTGGAAGATGCAGCTCACCTGGGTTCAAGCCATAGTGGTTCCGTAGTAGGCTCCTGTCCCTTTTGATGTGGTGGGTTATACATACAGAATGATGCTATCTTGTCGAAGCTCAAACGGAAGAATTTCTAGGTTACAGCAATTTCTGATTGTAGCACTCTCGCAGGGAATGCACTGATTGCAACGGCTGGGAAGGGTTGCGCTGCACCATGTGTGCGGGCAAAGGTCTGGTGGGGTATTTTGTGAAGGACCTCGAATCGTAAGTTTCGCCGAATATACACTTCTTTGTTTTGGGAGTTCTGAACCTGTGACGCCATATTTTCATGGAGTATTAGAAGTTAGTTATTAAATGTGTAAGAGGTAAAGTAGAACTTGAAGAGGAGAATGAGAGCTGTAGGTTTGGTTTAAGCTAAAATGTTACTTTACATCCTGAAATCTGTGCATGAAAGTAGATGCTTAATGATCTATCATTATGATTAAATTTTAATATAAGCGAATGTGCAGGGGACAGGGCGATTCGGTTGAGAGCTTGGCAGGGGCAATAGCTGGTGGGGCTGCAAATTTGACTTGTGTTCCTGCATCTGTGAATTCAGGCCTCCCATTGCCCCGCCGAGAATGTCCAACTTGTGATGGCACGGTATGTTGTGCATGTTGGGATCTTTCGTAAATTTTCGGTTCTTCGCGTATTTTTCTTGTACTACTTGGATTAGTATCATATTTTTTTACCCTGGTTTGCAATCATTTCTGTAAGTTCTCAGTTATGAGTTGAGCCTCAGCAATTTGGTGGAGCTTATACAACCTTTTCGTGCAACTTCGCAGGGAGTTATGACATGTAAGAAGTGCAAAGGCGAGTCGTGGAAACCAAAGATGAACTTTGAGGACGTAAGCCACGTCCTGAAATCGTCTGTTTTTTTGAGGATATGGCGTCGATGTATCTGTACTTGTACTAGTGTTTGTCCCGAGACAATTTTGCCACATGATGATCTTCTTTTGGACTAATTTCTACTAGCTGTTCATCATCTCGTTTCATTTACCGATGTTCTAGTTGTTGTTTAATGCAGATAATGGATGTTCCTTGGAAAGCATGGAATGTGTACAGGAAGACTAAACCGCCTACTGAGGTCCATATTTAGACCTGTTTGTGTCTTTTTATCTTTGCATCAAAAGTGATTAAGCATAATATTGTCTATTTGAATTTCTGCATATTTTTTACATGGAGGCAAGGCGAATTATAGGTTTTCGCTTTGTACATCTTATTCCTGATTTTTGTGTTGACTTCCATTTCAAAAGTTCTGGATTTAACATGCGGTCGTCGATGCAGTCACAAGATCGGCTGATGTCAAATCCGGACTTGGCCTATTGGATGATGTTCGAGAAGCCTGCTATCGAGGATGGCGTAGAGTATGATGATGATGTCAAAGAAAAGATGTGGATGAAGTACATGGTGGGTTATTTATTATGATAGATGATTTTGCTTCTAATTTGTATAATAGTAGCTTACATTCGGTTACGTTTGAGAATTTTTCTTATGAATTTCACACTCAAACTTTCCGATCTCCCAATTTCAGCTTTGGAGCGTTTTGGAGATGTGTGAATTGCCTTAATTTAGCACTGTCACCAATTTTGTTGCCAGAAATTTTCATGAGGTTATTTTTGGCTTGGCAATAGGACGACAGGCGTTATGAAGAATTGCGCGAAAGAGTGGAAAGAAGAGAAGCTGGGTGGGAGGTCTTACAACAGGTTGTTTATTCTGATTGTGCATAAAATATACTAGGAAAGTAAAGAGGACTATCCTCCGTGGTGGACTTAAAATTTTAGAAGTAGCTTCTTGGTTGGTTAGTTTTTCAAAGTTTCACAGAATTTACTGTGAGTCCTTAAATACTTTACTTTATTGCTCTGGGTTGTATCCATGTAAGACAACTAACATGTTCTGCATGGTGGGCAGGGTTTAGTGAGCATTAATCCAGAACGAGCTAGACAAGATCCTGTAATAGTGCAGAATGTACCCTTTCATAAAGCTCAGTTGCAACTTCTAGCCGAAGTGGAAGGAATGCAACCTCCCCCAAGGCCTGCGAATTGGGGGGTAAGTTCTACTTGTCCCAATGTTTATTTACGTCTGATTTTGCTGAATCTATTTGACTACAGCGTGTTGACGTATTTTCTTGGTCAGCTCCTTACAGTTTATAATTGTCTTGAGCATATTTATCTGAGGTACTAGATGGGTCCGCATCTGAAGATTAGCAGAAGTCACACTTGCTATCAGTTTCTTGCGCAGCTGCCTAGCTTTGGACATTGAACTGAAACAATGTTTTGGTAACTGTTGGATTATGATGAAGAATGTAAAACTTCCCTTGTCTGAAGCGGATTGGCGTAAGGAAGATTTGAAAAATCCCAAGGTGAGGCAAGAGATGGAGACGTTACTAAAAACCCAAGAAGGGGTTTATGGAGCATTACTAGACAATGCCTGGGAAAATCAGTGGCGCGAGCAGCAGGTAGAATTTATGGCTCATCTATCTCGGCACTAGCAAATTCCTCAGCTTAAATCACTTTTTGGGTGTTAGCAATATGTGTGACTTCTGTTTTACATGCTTGGTTAAATCTATTCTATTCTCGTGTTACTAATATAGGTAGTTCAGGAGTTGGATCCAGTTGGTTGTATTAACTCATGCGTAGAATTAGGCGAGATATTGCAGTCTTCAGTTTTGTTGTTTAAGAGAAATCTAACAAGGAATTATTGGTGGATGTTTGCCAGCTCGAGATACTTACCAAGGCGAAGATTGAGTCATACCTACGTTCCAAACAAGAGGAAGAGCAAAATCCTGGATCTTCTACCCCAGGTAGTGAGGGACGAACTGGCAAAGGTGCTCCTTCCACGAGCACAAGAGATACCAATGCTTCTACTCAGGTATGTACCATTACTGCATACATACATTTCAGAGAAATGCCACAGGAATGCTTTTATTATGGTTAGTTTACGAGCCTTGGACGATTTTCAAGTGTTTATTTCACTTTCCCCCTGCAGAAGAGTCGCGGGAAAAAAGGCGTTGATGATAAGAAGAAGAAAGAACGGCAGGAGAGGGCAGAAAGATTGGCCAGGCAAGCTGCTGAACGTGAAGCTGCTCTTGCAAAAGGCAAAGCTGCCCGATCAGGGAGGAGTTGATTGTCTTATTTTTGCCGTCGATATTTATGCCCTTTCCGTAGGATTAGATTCAGAGATCAGAGGACGACGTTCTTAATGAAGTTAAGTCCACTTCGGAAGGTCGATTGCCACGAAAGAGAAAGCCAAATCTTGCTAGATTCAATAGAGTATTAGCATGTTTCAATGCTGAAGGTTATAAACGGGACTGTTTGAAAGCATAAAGATGAGCATTGTCTGCATTATTGAGTTCCGGAATCATGAATGTTTGCTCTTGCACCCTTCAAGCAACTCTGAATATCGTCAAGCCTCATTTACTGGAAATTCTATTGCTGTTAGATGAAACATAGATGTCGCAGCAGTCGACCACTCCCACGTGAAGAGAAATAACATCGAGCGCTGCCATCTTTTGTTGACTTTGCCCTGCTTTGTGGGTAATGGGACTTTCTCAAGTTGGCAAAATCCTGAAGAAAATGACCACCACCCTCTCTATATAGGACATTGCTACTGGGAATAGTCCGTCTTATGAGTCATTATTTGGTCATGTGGGAAATTGTTTTTTATTGATGATCATGCAATTGTGTCACATCAAGTGCGCATATTATGTGTCATTTCGAATCATCAGTCACGTTATACTTTTGGGTAGTTGGTGCATTTTTTTGAATTTTTTCTTTTATTTTATTCCATTGAATGCATGCGTTTTTTTTTTTTTTTGAATTCTTCCACTTCGCTCATTATTTCTGAGTTTGCTGTTTGTTGCGCTGAGTGGCAACTAATTTGATGTTATCATACATATTTTTATTACATTGATAGTAATAATAAATTGTTGATAACAATATTACACATGCATTTTTTCATATTTAACTTTTTCCAATAATTGATATCGTTCTGCAATCGTCTGAAATCATTTGCACCTTTCTTGTTTTTCGGAGTTATAGTTTAAAGTTTTCCTATAGGTTTAGTTGAAAGCTTAAAAGTACGATTCTATTAGAAATCAACAGAAAATACTCGTTGATACTACGGATTTATCCAAAAACCTGAAAATTTTATAGAAGCAGTTCTTTTAAAATACAATTCAACACATTGTTATATGTGCACAAATATATAAATTTAAATAAAAATGTTGAAAATATTTTTCAAGTACAAATAAATGTTTGTTTACTGAACTTGAGGTTCTGCATTCAGAAAAGGCACATTAATGCGAGTGTTGAGACGAAAGGATGTGCACATTGGTAAGCACAAATTTCGCAATGCCCACACTCTGCAAGATTGGCACATAATGAAGCAATTGCTGTCAGAAAGACAATGTTGAAAACACTGTTTTTTTAATCCACAATTGCGCATGCTAAGCTCCTAGAGAAAGCAGAAACCAAAGCTTCTAAAATCCTGCTCTGATAGAGCCCAAGTGAGACAGCTTTGGCACCATATTGCATACAGCACTACAGCAGTCTGCCAGTTATTATGTACAACACCATTAGACTACTTGCATGAACTGAATAAGAAGCAATCTAACGAGTCCCATGTAAAGTAGCAAAAATGATGTTGAATCCTTCTCCCCAAAACCGCTCTACAACACTCCGGTAACACCTTGATACTACCCACAAACGTAAAACTCCAGATGATCCATGGTTTGGGTGCTCACTGATCTTGCAACCCAGTGTTTTTGGAGCATTACAAGGCGTTTTGGTGTTTACAAAGTGAAGAGAGAGAGGAGCCTGATTGTGAGCTGCGGTCGTAACCTGTTTCAACTCCTTTCCAAGCCGAGTTTTGTGGACCAAGATGTTCGCTTGCGGGCCATGATGAACCACTAGCTAAAAGAGTAATTGGTCGGTGAGTGGTGACTTTGGTCCCTAAGATACTTTGTACATAAAATTTTACCTACATGCAATCATATTGCATGTGGGTGTAATCACTTATGTGAGTCGTTCCACAGTAGTGGCGTCGTCAGAGCATCGCCGTTCAGGCCATGCGTCGCCAGTTGCTCCTCTCTGGCCAAATTCTCCACTTGCCAGATCTTGCTCACTGCATGCTGGCCTTGCTTCGAAAGCCCCATTTGCTGCTCCAAAGATAATATTAGCCAAACTTGAGCATAAGTTGCATGGATGAATATTGATCATTAACATTTACTCTGGCTGAATGGTGTTCTTTACGAGAAATAGATAACTCTGATAGTTTTATAAATTCCTTCATACAATCCATTTGGCGAGTGTCAAGTTGTTAATTACTGATTTAGGAGATAACACGTTTTCCAAGAGATGATATATTCCTAAAATTTGCTGTTCGTAGTTTACTCGTTCTCTTGTAAAACCATCACTCTTCAAAAACTTTGAAATCGAACGGATCTCCTCTCCCAAAAGATAAGTCGATCTATGTTTGATCAACACATTGATGTTTCCAAGAGGTAAATAATTTTAGAAGCTATGTGTTATTTAAAAGAACAATGTTCTCATGTGCTTTACATATGCTGATAACATGATGTTTGCTAAATCAGGGTTTTCATGTGAGTAAGTTGTAACTATGGACACGTTAAGGTTAAGTGAGAAAAGTAGAAATGTAAGACTTGGATGCCTTACCGGAGTACGTAGAGATCCAGCTCGACGAACTAGAATCGAACTCCCTTTAGACACCTGTGTTGCTGCCGCGGCCGCTACTCGTACCCTACACAACGGCGGGAGTAGCTCTGACGTTAACATGTGACAGACTTTAACTGATACTAGGTAAGATATAAACTACATCATAGTGTAGAAAACTATAATTGACTTGTTCATGCACACAAAAACACAAATTCTGATATGACATCATATGAGAACCACAGCTCTGGGAAAGGCATTGGCATACTTTTCTTCGCGGTTGTCATCTGCATGACTGACACTAACGAAGCAAGATATAAAAACATCTATTGAGACGCAACTCTGGACGAGTCACTTACTTCTTGTGTACATCAATATATTCATCTGTCTCGTCCACAATCTCCTCCTGAAAAATGAAACAACAGCCAACCAGTCAAGAAGCAAAGAAAAGGCGCAGTTAGTTTGTTCACGAACAGCTGCGCATCAAGATTCAAATTCAGTAGACATGGTAATTTCTTTTTGTAAGCTGTACTTGTAATAGCTCTTCCATCACGTCCTCCATTGTTATGATGCCAATAACTTCACCATCCATTAGGTCATCATAGTCATCATAAACATTCTCCTCAGATTGTTTGTTCCCGTTTGCATTAGTTTGATTTCCAACACCTTTTTCCACGTCTGCTTCTCTACTCATACCAGACCCTTCCAGCTTTTCAATGCCATTGAGATCGTGGCCACGACTAGTTCTCTTATTGCCTTTCACTTTTGTTACAGCTGCCATGTGGCTCCCGCCCTTCTGGAATTCGTTTAGTATATCGTACAACGGCATATCACTGGGCACTCTGACAATTAGAAAAAGATGCATTCAATTTCATCAAAGTGCCTTCCAGTCCTCAGTTTCAAAATGTTACATAAACACAGACAACAAATGAATATCCTGAGCAAGCTAATACAATTTCAGCATGTGCAGCTGAAAAAATAGTGATGTACGGGTGACGTGGAAGCAGAGATCAGAGTTGATTTGCAGCTTTCTAGTTTTAATTGTCGAATATTATACACTACACTGCCACACCAATGAGCTTACCTGGGTATCCTCCTTATGGAAACAGAACTAACGGGGGTTTCGGCCTCAGCACGGACTGTTAGTAAACTTTTCACCTGCAAAATCACGAAATATGGGATTTAGAAACCACTTGTGAATTGATCATCTAGAAGCAGCCTCCATGTTTTACTTATTGAAGGATTTAGGAGAAGACCAAGAAACACAGAGTCTTTTCAATCCAAGTTAGTTAGCTTGCACACCAGTAAAACGCCAATAAGGTTGCGAGGATTTCCATCATAAACAGGAACACGGCTGTGTCCTCGAGCAATTATTTTCCCCAACGCCTCCCTGCAGTAAAATATTTTGCAGGACAAGAAAACATCAATAACCTCTGGGGGTACACCAAAAAAAACAAGAAGGAAAAGAAACTATGTACGCACCAACCGGGACAAGCTACGTTTTTGAAAGCTGAGATTACCGTGGTACATTCGAAAGAAATACACACACCTACAAGAATATTTAACAGTCGAAGTTTAAGTGGAGCGCACCAATCTAATTTGGAATGGACATCAAGCGAGAATGTTGATTCAATTGGAGTCATGGAGTCCAGGGCGGTCTGAATAATTCATCACACATACACACACACACACACAAATAAAAAAACGTCAGCTATTTCATAGACTCAAACTTCACCTTCGAACTACAACTACAATGTCAGATATCCGCACAAATCAGCTAGCACGCCAAAAAATGACGTTAAGATGAACTGAGAGGAAGGTAGACTCACCTTCTCCGTTAAGTCTAGAGCTCCTTGAATGATTGTAGTTTCGTCATGCGTTAACTCTCCACCCTTTCCAGCCTGAGTCAGAAACCAGACAGTATCACAACGTGGAGCCAACATTGACATTTGCATCAAAAGACCAATATGTCCAGAGATAAAAACTGAAAATCTAACATATCAGATCGTTGAGAATGTAAACCAAAGCAATTAGAGAAACATTAGCTCACTTTCGCAAGAGAGACGTAGCAAATGTCCATCTTGCACTACTGCCGTAGAGCCTACCTCTCTTCCATGAATCGAGACCAACGCCTTCAGCTGCGCTCGCCTAAATAATGCAGATTCATTATGTCCCAACAAATAATCCAGAATCTGCATTCAGAAATCGTACGACCAATTTCTTAAGTTACTACTCACAGTTAAGTGGTTCCTAAGCATTGCCAACAGAAGATGAGCATTTCGGCGTTGAAAAACAATCACAATTACCTTGCCGACTGGGTAGGAAACAGGCCAGCTTATAGTCATGAGAATCTTGACCAACCAGATCAAGTCAGCACCAATCGCAAGCCCATGTCTTGAGCAAACTGCTTGAGGAATAACCTGCACATCAAACACCGCCAGCAATCTAAGCCACAAGGGGCCCAACAACGAAGCCTAAACAGTGTGACATGTAGAAGATGACACTGAGCTTCTAATGCTAAGGAAAATGGTTGAAAAAATGAAATAAAACACAAGATTACACTCATCGTATGGTGCTTCTTTGTTGAGTTTGGAAAGATACCTCTCCAAAGGCAAGCACAAAGGTCACAGACAAAATCACAGCCACTACTTCATTGAACATGTCGTCCAGAAATATGGGCAGAGCCTGCGCCATACAAAAATTATATTACTATCACCAAACACTTGATTTGAACCAGTACAAAATTTATAGTGTTTGTCGTTGTTGCAAATTGCATACATTCTCAATGATTTTCTGAGCAAAGGGCGCATTTTGGAGGCTAATTTGTAATGGCGCACGCTATTTCGGTACAGGACAAAGTCACATACCTCCATAGCAGCTGCGTTACAGAGAAGCAATGTCACGAGGAGCTGGTGTTGCTTCCTCACGACGGGTGCGATTTTAGCTGCAAATCAATCAGACCAACACAAAGTGACCGATTCAGGAAACATCAGCATGAGCACCTCGAACTCATATTGTATGAAACCCAAGGGGAATATGGTAGGCCTCCACCTGATCATTTGCAGGGAATTCAGTTTGTAACAATGAAAGCCAACGAATAGCTGCGAGGTGGTGGTGGTGATGGAAGATAACATACAAGCCTGTTCTCTTTCCTCATCAGTGCCACTCTGCTGAAGAACCTCCAAGTCCACAAGCCCAAGCGACATGAGACCCAGCGTCAGGCCCGACATAACGCCAGCAAACAGCACCAGAAAGAGAGAAATACCAGCCCAAATCCACCACCATGGCTGCGAATAGGGCGACGGATCATCTCCCACCATCGACGATCGGAGCAAGTGACCCAGTCTCAGAAATCCAAAAACCACCATTCCAGCGTCCGGTATTTTTATTTTTTTCTTCCTCTTTATTTTTATTTTTTTGTCTTTTTCTTTTACACTTCTTCAGACGGATTACTGGAAAATAAAAATAAAAACCACTTGCGTCCTCTTCGAACACCGGAGTCCCAACCACGGACTAATCCCGGAATTCGAAACTCAAAGAATTGTCTAATTTAAAACCAAGCTACGCCATTTATTATCGGATGTACAAAATCCTAATGTTGTGGATGTGTTTAAATGAAAGAAAAAAAAAAAAAAAAAAAAAAAAAGATTCCTCATTTGTATGGCAATTTTAGACACTTAAGCAACTCTAATGATACTTATTGTTCTAAGTTAAAATAGTATTAGTTGTTTTGTAGATGAGAAATATAGATTGTAATTAAGGATTAAAAAAATAAATTATATTTTTAAAAATTGATTTTTTTTGAATAGTCCAAAATCAAATTATCTCATATCTAATATTATTGATCTATTTTAATATTAAAAATATCAAAATAATAATAATAATACTAGTACAAAAAATAAAAAATAAAGATTGGTAAAATAAGAATATATTAAAATTTTAATATACATATCTTCAAAAATAAAAATATATTATATTATTTAAAATTTTGGATAAATTTACTATAAATAAATATGTAATTGTGTATACATACATAACTAAGATATGTTTATATTTAGATTTTAAATAATGATAATTATATAATTTATACTTAAATAATTTTTAAATATGCATACTAAGCAACATATTTTTAAAATTTATTCTTTTTCTATTATTGTAGAGTGAATTTGATATTTTTACTCAAATTATATAACTTTACATTGATTTTCTATTCCTGAATTTCTCATAAAATATGCATCTATTTTTTATTAATTTATTAATTTATTAATTTAATATTTTTATTACTACTATTTATGTAATTAATATTTTGGTGTAATACTTTCAAAACGGATTTTTACAAAATAATTGTCTTCATTATATGTATGTAATTTTCAATGCAGTTATCTAAAGTTTTATTTAATTTTATTCTGGACTAAAATTTTAGATTTTAAATATAATTATAGTAGCATATAATTATGTTTAGATTGTCAAACAATATTGTGTTTGTAGATTACTAAGGTGATATATTATTATGGTAACTACACTATTAAAAAACTGTAACAAGTTCTGAAAAGTATGGATAAATATTTGAGTAAAGTAAAATGTTCTTTAGAGACAACTTCATATTTTTTTTAATCATGTTGGGCATTCTAAAACTAAATGGCAGATATAAAGTATGTAGATATTAAAGTACTCAAATAAATATTATATTTTACGAAATTATAAATTATTTTTAAAGCTGTAACATTAAAACTGACCTTTTTTTTATTGATTATTATTAATTTTTAGCTTATGCTCAGAAGAAAAATTCTTTAAATATTATAAGAATCTATACATTTGTATGAATTATATTCTCAAAAGAATAAACTTCTTAATTCTTCATTTGTAATTTCTTTATTGTATATTATTTTATATTATTCTTTTAATAAACTTTGATTAAATAGATTAAAATATATGTTTAAATTTTAAGAAAATGCTAGATAGATATCCCCTGCATACAAATAATAATAGCATTCTTACTTGAACATTTTTTAATGACAATATCTTTGATGATTATATTATTACTATTGAGAGGGATTATAAAAATAAATAAATAATAAAATAAAATTAATGTCTTATTTTTGTCCCAAACTGATTGATATCACATATTAAAACTTAGATGTATATTCCATAGTAAAGAAAATAAACTATGTTTTATATAGTCAACTTGCACGAATGATTGGAAATATCACTACATTTATTTTTATATAAAAAAATATTCATAATTTAAGATAATTGCGTAAGGGATGTCTAGACAATAAAAGAGAAAAGTCTACCTAAAGATTTTCTTTATTATATGCATATTTTTAAATCGTGATTTTTTTTATTTTTTTTATTTTTTTATTTTATCAATAATCAAGTACATTTTTATGAGTATTTTGAATTAAAAGATAAAAAATAAAGATAAATTAAAATATAAGTAAAAAAACTATATTTTGTGAATTGTTTTTAGAATATGAAAACTTTGATAATTTAATGAATGTTTTTATTGGTTTGTAGTTCTTACTTCTTTAATAAATCATACATATAAATATCTGAATAAAAAAAAATTGTACAAGATAATTTGTAAGAATATCAATTAACATTTGTTGAAAAAATTTATCCTTGTTATTTATAGAAGTAATATAGTAAAATATTAGAGAGGATATGATAATTATAAATGTAGAAATTTAGAGGCTATAATATTTTTTTCAACTCTTAAGGATGATGGTAATATTGAAAATGATACATACAAAGAGAATAATAGTAAATAATATTAATGAGTAGAAGAGTTGAAAAGTCAAAAAGAGCATAAAGTCTAAAATAGTTTTATTAAAAGATAAAAAGAATATTTTTTGATTATTGAAGAATGCATATCTACTCTTAATGCAATAAATTAAGGTAATTTTATGGTTTTTAAATTTGAGATAGATTAACCAAGAATATGTATAATTTAAAAATAAAAATAAAATAAAATAAAGATTCATATTTAATAGAAACATGGAATAATACTTTTAAATGTAAAATAATAACACATGTATTGTGATGTCATATTTAATTTAGCTAGATTTATTATTTACATGTTATTTAATTTTTAAGATATTTAAAAAATTGTAATTTATTATTCTCTTTTAGATAAATGAATTGTCTAAGACTTAAACAGCTGTTTAGATTACAATTTATTATTCTACAAAATAATTATAAAAATCATTTAAAGATATATGTATTAATTGGTTTTCCTACCTGATAAGTATATATTTATTTTTTAAATAAAGTTTTTGTAAAGTAATTTTGACATCTGCCATTCATAAAATATATATTTTAATTTTTATTTAAATAATTCACAAAATTAGAGTTTTATTTTATTTTATCATAAATATATATATATATATATATATATATATATATATATAGACATTAAAATTTTATTTTGAGGCAAGATTCTTTTTCTTTTAAAACATGAGATATTATTTTTTATAGTAATTAAAATAAAATAAATAAAATAATAAAATAAAATATAAGATATAAAATTTATCAAAAATAATTATTTGGTAAATAAAAAATAAAAAATATAAAAATATAAAAATATAAAAATTATAATTTTATTGTATTTTTTTCAAATGAACTTTTTTTTATCTTATAATATAAGTATAAAACATGTTTTGAGTGTTTTATGTGTATAAGTATTAGTATGTATTTATATATAGTATTATTTATCTTTTAAGTATATAATACAATTTGCTTATCACTTTTAATTTCAATTTATATTAACTACTAAAAAGTATAAATTAGGTAAAGAGAAGACAAAAGGCAAGCAAAATGTATTAGAGGATAAAAAAGAATAGGTATTCTAAATATGAAATTAGAAAATAAACAATCCAATTGAATTTTTTTGATATAAGTTGATAACTTCTTTTGCCCTATGTATGAAGATATCTATTTATGTTAAATTTGTGTCAGAGTATAAACATCTCTTTAGTGTGGTATGTATCATGTTTCATTTACATTTGTTTAAAAAAAAAAAAAAAAAAAAGACAAGTATCAGAATAAAAGACCTTCACTAAAGTAATAAATATTATATACAACTTCGAGTTACTTAGTAAAGAAACTGAAACTTGAATTTGAAATGCTGAATAGTTGCACCATGTGTTTTGAAGTTTCAATCCTAGCTATAAAATTCTGATCTTGCTTGATAAAAGAGCTCACAAACACCTCTGTATTTCTTTTTAGTTATGTAACTATTTCTTAAATAAAATTCAAATAAAAATGAATAAGCATCACATATTTTTTTTATACTTCTATTGCTAATCTTTAGGTTCTTTTGAATACTACAAATTACAAAAGGTAATAATTTATATATACATATATATATATATATATATATATATATATATATTTCTAAACATAATAGTATTATTCAGATAATTATATTTAGATAACTGAATAAACTCATATTATATCCATGAGTATTTCATAAATCATTTGTGGTAATAAGAAATATATATATATATATATATATATGTATTTAAAGTTTTTTTTTTATTTTCTTTTACTTCTATTAATTTATAAATTAACTTATAACTAAGTATAAAATAAATGCACTTCTTATTGTATTACTAGATACATAGAATTAGTTCTTATTTGACAAATTATGCTTTTTCAAATAGTTGTGACTTCATGATCAAACTAAACCTTTTCCTTTCAAAAGAATACTAAGACATTGTGGTTTATTTGAAATATCAAATTTTAACTTTTAGAATGTTCTTTATTCAACTCTTTAAAATTGTTCATTATATGGAGCGATAGAAAAGCAATTAAATTTTATTTAAAGAAAAGAACATAATCTGATCTACAAAGTCACAAATTTAAGAAAGCTTTAATTACATCTGCTTCTATTTTTCTTTTTATCCACACATTTTCACTTACACCTAAGCAAACATGTAAAACAATGAGTGATGGCAATTATGCAATAAAGACCAAATTCATCTTACAACTCAAAGCATAATATTTTATCATGGATTCAAAATTGAAATTACATTAAGAGAATTGCTTGACAAGGTCTATATCGCTATCATGCAACCACTACATGCCACTATAGCCATTATAGTCTTGTATTTTGAAATCATTTCTTTGTAATTTTAGATCCATGATATTGCTTTTTGAATACATTAATCCACAAAAGACCCATGTTTAATAATGTAAAGAAATATTAGATATAATAAGCCCTTTATAATGGTTATATTCTCTTTGTAAAGTTGAAAAGAAATAAAATGAAATCAAAATTGAGATATTAAAAACCTTCTTTTTATGCTTTCCAATATTTTTTGCAATCATTAATGCACCATACAACATCACTATCAACTCCCTTGTAAGATTGATGCTACTAAAAATAAAAAAACGTAAAAAAATAAAAAACAGAACAATTAGACAAATATGTTAATTTACTTTTAGAAATACTTTATTAAGTTATTTTATTTCATTTTTGCATTACACTTACATGTACTAAATACCAAATTCTTATGCAATTAGAAGCCAATCTTTTACCTCATCACTTTTAGCACCAACATACACCAACCAACACTTTATGAAACACAACCAAAAAAAAAAAAAAGAACTCCCAAAAAATATCACTTCAACCCAAACATTGTTTTGAAACACATGATATCTCAAACAAACAAGGGTAGATTCTAACACCCATGTAGGATGAGAGCACACATTTCAACAATACATGAAAAAAGGGCATTCATGTATCAGCACCAAGTACCAGCATGAAACACAAACCCTAAACCACTCTAAAACATTGAAACAAAATGTGCACTTCACAACATACATACATCATACTTAATTAAGGGGAGTATTGAATAGACCCATGCTTTTAGTAAATAGACCCACTCTTCATGAAAAATATGGTAATCATGTGAGTGTAGTTGGTTTTTATTGGTTACATATCCAATAGTGGAGAAATGAATAGTGATGTCATTATTTTTATTTTATTTTCATGATGGTGAGGATGAGTGGGTTGATTTAGTAAAAACTTGAATCTAATCTCCTTAATTACTTATCATGTATAAGAAAGTAGAAGCAAAAAATGGGGAATAATAAAAATTATAATACAAAGGAAATGGGATAAAAATGGAGGCGAGAGCGAAAGATGGAGGGGGGAGGCAGTCAGAAAGACGGCGAAGGAGATAATGCCGCAGATATTGCAAAGCCAGTGACACCATCGCAAAAAGCGAAAAGGGCCACCACACAATCCACAACAACAAAGCACTGATGGACAACAACAACAACAAAAAAGAAGCAAAAAAACAAAGAAGAAGAAGGAGGAAGCAAGAGAGAGAGACAGAGATTGAGAGGGCGTGGCTTCCGTTACCGCGGACTGATTTGCAACGTGTTTGTGTGAGTGCGGGAGTGAGTGAGTGAATGAGTGTGTGTATGTGGGCGCATGCTGGTTGCGCTGCGTTTGGTATCGACATGGGGAGGAATTGACGTCTGTAGCGGTGCAGCTCAGTTTCTCGTGCAACGTGGCGTTCTTGTTGTTGCGTTGCTGCTGAAGTAGGGTGGCCAGGATTTCGGATGTGGCGCTTGAAGTTGGCGTTTTCGGTACTGGGCGCTGGGTTCATGTTTACTCGTATTTGTGTGGGATTGATTGGTTTTGAAGATGTTTTTGGGCATTGTATGTCAATTTCGTGTTGTAGAGGAGATAATCTTTGTTGAAGCGAGAGTTCGTAGATTGGTCTGTTTTTTCTTTTGGGGTTTCTGTTATTTGTGGTAATTGAGTCAATTTTAGCCTTCATGGGTATCTGTGTTGCCTTAGATTAGTCGTCGTGTTGGATATCTGCAGCAGTTCACTTTCCATTGGAGTTTGTGCTAGAGGCTGAGCAGACTGCTGAGCATATGTGGAATTAGTGTACAGTTTGAGTTTCAAGTTCGAAATGACGTAGTGGAGAAGTAATGGGGCAAATTCCTGAATTGAATGAGGTTCTGCTATTTGGACTTTAACTCTATTGAAGTCGTACATGTCGTTACACGCTGTTGTTTGTTTGTTTGTTTGTTTGTTTTTTTTAATTGTTGGACGTGCCTGTTGCCTCGAGTGAAGTTTTCTTCATCCAGCAAATTGAGGCATTGTGCGAGAGTTAGAATTTTTTCTAGATACAGATTCAGAATTCGTTCCTCATTGCTGGAAGTGCTGGTTTTCCCTCGAAAGAAACATAAATTGGTGTGTGTTTGTGTGTGTATGTATATATGTGTGTTTTTCCACTTTATTCTCTAGTTATTTTAATGACACGGATAGTATTGCTGTGCAGATACATTTCCAGGACTACTGCAGAGTTTTGCTCTAGGACCTCGTAGTGCGAAAATGGCCTCAATATGTTGGCAATCGCTTGGCTCTTCTTCAATGTCAATAGAAACCACTAGATCAATATGTTTCACAGCTTCGTCATTGCGAAGAGTGTCAGGACAGTTTTCCGGACGAGGACGCCACTCCTCCACTTTTTCCACTTCACATAATTCGATGAATAGGTTAATTGATAGGCACCCACTTCAGCAAGCTCGAAGCAGTTTTTTCCAAAACAAGGTAGGGAATCCAAACAAGACAATTATAATCCCTGTTAGGAAAACTACGCTGATGCCCATTCAGGTTCAACGTGTGAATTTTAAGGCGTCCAGGTCGGTGACGATTCCTTTTAAAGAAGGGGCGTTATCAGCGAATGAATATCTGAAAGAGACCGAGAGAATAGTCAAAGTCACATTCCCTGACTCTACAAGAATCGAATACCTGGGGGATAGAACGTGGCGGTCCCGTTTGCGTCCACTTACATTCATATCAATCACTGCGACTCCCAGTGTTGAAATGAGGTCAGCCTCCCGTGAAGTTCCTGATTTTTTTATTGAATCTTTAGCGCTTGGCACATACATGACGCTGTATAGTTTAGGGTTGAAGAGTTCGCATCATTCTTGCTGAAATAAAGTAGCCTCTCCACTTCTCTCAGAGTTCATTGCTATGTCTCTCCCTCAGTAGATGAAGACTGGAGCAACGTCTGTCTTAGAGAGTTCTGCATTTTGTTAGATAATTTTCTCCAGTAACTGTTGTCTCTAAGAACAGCGTTCATATTGCAGGGTGTCTTTTGAAAAGGGTGCCCTTCGCCTTTATTCAGACACACTCTTCCTCGACTTCACTGGGGTCCCTGATGATTTTGCGGTAGCAGATTTTTCTTTCGTGTTGGACGGTGGCATGCGTGCAGTTCCTCGTTCTCCAGAGATCACTACTATACGGCATAACTGTGATTTCACGGGATCTGTTAGCTTAGGGCTTTCTACTGATCTCCCTGCTGCATTTGCATTTATACCTGAGATCCTTTTAGTGCGGGCAGGGGATGAAATTCTTGACCGTATCATTGGTGCCATGGAGGGAGCATTGCTGCAAGGCATTATTAGAGATTATAACATCTGGTCCCGGATGAAAAGCAGAACGAAGATTGCTAAATCTAAGCAAGCTGTTGTGCCCTTAAAGCCCTCCACAAGTTGATTACCCTTCAAAAACTTTAAATCCATGGCACATGCGCATTGCAGAGGTTTTGCTGACTCTCAAGACTGCTGTTTAGAGCGTCCAGTGAGCATCCACATCCGGGTCTCTTAGAGCCAAGATTAATCTTAGCTTAAGAAATTTGATTGACCATTTTTCAGTCCAAGCCCTTGTCTCTGGCCATATAACCATTTGGCTTGTAACCCTGATTATATAATGAATTCTATAGAAAATCCAGTTAGTTTTTTGGGAGGAGATGTACAAATAGAGGGTTGGTGGTAATATACCCAGAAACACAGAAGTGTGTCAAGTGTAGCACTACAACGTAGGAAAAGACGTCTTTCTTTTCTTTTTTATATATAAATTTATTTTTGTGTTATATTCGTAACTGAAAACATCATTTCTGAAACGTTAGAAGAGAAAGTAGTTTAAAGAGAATGCTGGTATTGGCTTCGGATGTCGATCATGACTGATTTTTTCAAGTGAAGAGAGATATCCTCGTTGCTCTTTTTGGTCCACATATGACTTTTCTTTTCTTTTTATTATCTTACACCGTTATTTTAAAGCTTCAAATAATTCATTTTCTATGTCTCAGTGATGCTTCATGTGCACAGTGAAGATTTGTTTGTTTTGTCTAGGCCATCTGTTTTTTCTGTAATTTGTGAGGTGGTTCTTGGATTCAAAAGCCATTTGTAGTTATCGTGAGGAGCAGGTATGTAATTCTCTCAGTTTTCCTCTCCCCGTGTATAGCTTGAACACAGTAATAGAGGTTGAAGCCCACAAGTTTCCTCTATTACTGTGTTCAAGCAGTGTCACCCAATATCTAGGATACACTAAAAATCTGTTCCTATGCATTAAAACTATTGCAGTGCTTCAACAATGATATAATAAAGGGCAATTACGTCACATTAAACATAACAAGTTATATATATATATATATATATATATACACACACTTAACTGTAGTATTTTTTTCTTCATGAGAACAAGCTAATATTATCCAATGTATGAACAAATATACAAAAAATAAGTATAAAGACATGTATATATAATACAACATACTTATTAATTACAATGCGTTTGTGTCCACTCATCGAATTATATTTAGTTCTCTTTCTTATAACTCAGCATGGTAACTTTTACATAGTACCTCTTTAAAAGGTAATGATAAATTATTGGTAAAACTTACATGAGAAATTGTCAAAGAAAAAATTCATTGGTTTTTAAAATAATGACAGAAATATCCATATCCATTATAACTGCCAATTTATTTTTATAAAAAGTAATTAATGTGAGATAGAAGTGACAATTCTTTTCATATATATGAGTAGGATAAAATAATGCTAGAAACAGATGGAACAATATACAAATAAACATATATATATATATATATATATATATAATATTTTATTATTTTATTTTCATTTACTTGATTTTAATCTTCAAACATGTTGCTCTTCAGTATTTAAATATAAAGATTTGTAATTTTCTTTAACTTTTTATCTTGAAATAATCCAATGTTTTTTATTATAGTTTCTATAATCTTATTCTTTTTGTCATTTGTGATTATTTAAATAGTAAATAACTTATTACATATTTTAATGATTTTATAATTAAAATTATTTAATGAATAGGCACTATAAGCTTTTATAACTATTCTTTACTTTTATTATTGTATGCAACTTAATTCTAATATAAATTATCACTCACTTAAATTCATTAATTTAATTTTAATTTGAAACCTAATTAAATCAAGTATTGGCAGTTATGATTCCAATGATAAAGTTGAAGTAAATTCTAAATCTTAGAACTTTTGTAAATATTTACCATACTTTAAGAATACTCTAATTCTGAAAAGCTCTAAATCCATAATCTTAAGAAATCTTTAAAATTTTAAAAATCTTTATTCCTAATAAATCATATTCTTAACTATAGCAATTATAAACCTTAAATTTTATGATCTAGGAAATAAAAATATATATATATAACAAATAAAATTGATCCAAATAAGACAATTGTATCATCAAAAGCACACTAATACTCTCTTCCAACAAGGATTAAGAATTGATTCTTGACTATGCCATTTCCAATAATTTGTCTCTCATATTAATCAAAACATCTACATTTAGTTTGAATGACTTCAATTTGGATGGTTTTGCTACAGTCAGTTCCACTATCTATCTCATGCTTGGCAAAGTCTAACTAAACATTCAACTCAATCTTGTATTTAAAAACTATTAACTTTTAAGTATTTTAATAAAGCAGTTTAAGACCATAAACAACTTCATCTAAGAAGCCACTTTAATCTACTATAAGAATTTATAAGAAAAATCTATTTAATATGTTTAAAATTGTTATTGTAGAATCTAAAAAGGTCTATAACAACACTATTTAAGAATTTCTTAAATTATCTATGTTTAAAATTTATTCTTCGAGTGTTTGAGATTTTATTTATTTTTTTAAAAACTATGTATAAGAAGAAATTTAAAGAATAAATATTGGACTGAAAATATTTATCCGATAGTAGTATCATAAGAGTTCTAAAATTGGGGTGCAAGAATTATAAATATAATTGAAGGAGAAAATGATAGCGCACTTGTGCAGCCTTAGAAAAACTACTATCAAAACACTAAAAAAAATTAATCTTGTATATATAATAGCTTGCAAATCAAACTAATATGTATCTTTTCTATATATGCACCTATGTTATATTTGTATATATATATATATATATATTAGTATCCAACCAATTATTATTTTATAGTAGATTTGTAAAATTATTTTTATGCTACATAGAAAGAAACCAAATAAAAATAAATAAAAAATGATGCTAGTATAGATACTTAGAAGAATCAAAATGTAATGATTTAGTAAAAAATATATAATCAATAATGAGATTTCTGTAACAAAAATACAATATTTTTATATTTTATATTTTTTTACTTAATATGATTGTGCTTTGTATGTACATATATATATTGAAGACATAAAGAATTGCTCTAATTAAATTTTTAGAAATATCAAATAGAATTAAAAAAGAACATGGAAAAAATATTTATAAAATCCGAAACATTTGGCTCAAGGACCGTACATCATGAATTTGTTTTTGTAACATACATCCATATTACCTAAATAAATAGAAATGGATGGAAACAAGTAGAAATGTGCTGTGTTAATGACATCTTTCAAAAATTATTATTTTAAAAACATATTTAAGTTTTTCATTTTCTTTCTTTATTCATTGTTGAACATATATTAATTGATTTTTGATAATTCTGTTTAGATAGATGTCGCTGACATCTTCAACTTTGCATTATTACTTCATGGTATAATTTGTTTTACATCTAGACTTAATAAATCCACTTAATTTTTTAATGCACACGTCTCCTCCAAATACTTTGTTTTTATTTCTGCAAATAGATAAATACTATCCATAAGGAAAACTTTAAAAGTTTATACATAAGGAAAAGTTTAAAAGTTTATCCATAAGGAAAAGTTTAAAAGTTTAAAAGTTTAAAAGAATACATCTTGGTCTAAAAAATTTCATCCTTGCTACAAATTCAAAATCTAACAACTCACTTTCTTATTCCTTTAATTTCAGTTGCAAAAAATTATAGATATGCAATACTAGAAGGAATTCGCTCTAATTTGTCTTCCTTGATTCAAAAACACTCCGAATTAAGAATAGTAAAAACAGATCTCTCCATCAGTCAACAATTTTGCTCCTTATACATTCCATAAATAGAAGAAACAAACCTCTGTAAGTTTTTAGCCTTGCCCTGATGCCCGAAGGTCACGAATGTGGTATTTATCATTCATCAACAACATTCAAACATAACCAAAGTTTAGTTGTTCATGGCAGGCACTTAACTGTGAAGAAACCATAATAAGTTACTGCCTCCCAACAGGATTTCCACCCCATCCAAAGAGCATGACCTCTCTTAACAACAAGCACTTGCTTGTGGATTTCACAGATCCAACAAAACGAATTGATCTTCAAAGATACAACATGGCCTCCATGGAAACATAGTTTCAGATGGCAAGCCAAAAAGAGAGAGGGAATACAATATTCCCAACCTCAGAAACTGGGTCCCACACAGCAAGCATTCATCACCACAGGTAAACCTGGCTCCAACGTTAAGATGCAAAGATTCCAGTGCAAGCAGAGCACCTACAATCCAACATCAAAGCTGCGACGAACATAACCAACATAAGTTCCATCTCTACACACTAGGGGCAAACCAAAAATTACAACCTGAAACCACAAGCATGCAGTGCCTTCCAATTCCCATAAACAGGCTAATCCTCTATTTCCTGTTGAAGCTTCAACTCGTAGGAATCGACCAATTCTTTTACCAAAACACTAGTTCTGTACAGAGACTGGTACAAGGAATATAATTGAACAAGAACCTATATGGGTTGTTTCTTCTAGACATGTTCATTTGGTCAGAACTGAGCAGAATCTGGTCTTGGGTTTGGTGCATAGGTCTCGCTGTGCGTGGTTAGATCCCCGCCCCTTGAAGTTGCTCTGCGCTGGTATGACGGTCGTTCATGTCGAGATTTCAGAGGATTAGTTGTTTCTTTCAGTATATTGAGCAAGGTTGTAGCTTTATCCTTGGCGCGTGGCGTTCCGTGCTCTTGCAGAGCAGCTAGAGCGGCTACAGCACCGGCTTGTACAGCTTGGCCTTTGAAGCGCAGGTTATGATTGGCAAGTTGGAGGAGAGCAGCTGCAGCGTTCTCTCGCACAGAAGCCCAGTCGTTTGACCCTCCTCTGGTTGAGGAATCTGAATCGCTCCCTGCACGAAAAATTGCTTCGTGTTAGGCAACTGCTCAGTGTCACGATAACTTTCGTGCTATTTCAGAAAAGGCAGTCTTTAGACAAAAGAATAGCTTTGTAAACAAAACTCTTAGGAGGACCAATTACAAATGAAACGCATGTATCGAGGCCGTTTATGCTGTAGACTGCTAACGGATCAACGTAAGTCCAATGCGTTAGATTAGTTGAGAAAGACACTGTGAGGCATCGATGAGTTGTTAAATTTTTAGACCTCGAGCACATATTTGGTTCTCCTGGGATCGTAAAGGTTTCAGAAAGAAATTAAAATTTAAGTTCAAGAACGAATGGGGTAGAGGAGCTTAGGAGACTAGAATTCTCATGCAAATAATTACACGGAGCTTCTTCAATATGTTCCTAACCCTAAAACCTCCGAGAGCTGAATTGTGAAGAGAATGTTTAAATCTTCAAATACCTGGAGCACCCGACCTGTCCATTCCTGCGTTCAGAAGGCCAACGAATACTGCAACCCCCTGCCCCTCGCCAATGGCCGAGCGTCCTTCCTGGACCCCAGCCAAGTTGGAGAGAACCAAAAGCGCTCGGCACACCAAATCCGGTGACGCTTCCTGCACCAGCTGCAACAAAATGGGCACCACGCCAGCCTTTAGGAGCTTGCTCTTGTTGATATGTGCAAACGATAGGTGATACAATGCCATGGCGGCATCGCGCTGCGTGCCAGGAGGTCCCGAGCGCATGACCTTGATGAGAGGAGGAATGGCACCGAGCACACCGATGGCCATCTTGTTCTCGTCGTTCAAAGCCAGACTGAAGAGCGCACCGGCAGCGTGCTCTTCCACCGCTTCGGATCGTCCGTTGAGCAAATCAACGAGGCTGGGAATCACGGATGCTCTGGCAATTTTGATCTTGTTCTCGGTTGCAAGTGACAAATTCATTATCGCAGCGACGGCATTGACTTGCACCTTGACATACCGTGACTGCAGCAAGGGCAGCAACGCAGCTAACAGCTCGGGCGTACACAACGCAAGCCTGTAATCCACACCGGGTTTAGTGTTCCGTGTGAGTCGACGAATCTCTGCGGCAGCTTCCTCCTGCTCGAACGGTTGAGAACTGTACAATTTCTCAACTAACTCTACTTCGATGGCACCCCCTTCTTGACGTGGTGCTTCGTTAGGTCTATCCGTCCGATAGGAATTGGGCTCAGTCTGTAGATTTAGAGGAGTTTGTCTTCTGTGGGGTTGATAAGACGGACCATCTCCTCTCAGAACAGACGCTGATGCAGAATGAATGTACCTGTGACCCTGGCCACGTGAGGAAGACGGCCACTCGCCGCTACTGTTCCCATTAGCATGCCCTGAACCATGCCGAGATCTCCCATTGACAGAGCTTCCATGTTCCACCGAGTAAGTTCCTCTGTCGAATTCTCGGGAGGATTCTCTAGATTCGGTTGCACACATCTGAGAATGGGTGGAGCGTTCCCCCTTGACCCACAGAGGTCCTTCGTGTTGTTCCCGAGTAGAGGACCATGCAGGGCGCTCGGCTGGTTCAATCTCACCGTTACTTACGTCAAGACTAGGCTGAGCATCATACCTTTGCATGTAGCCCTCGCTGTCACTGTGGGGTTCCGGAAATTCGTCCTCATCTCCGAATCCTGGTCGAGGTTCAACACTGTTAAATCCAGGCCTGCTATCGACAACAATCGCTGGAGTCGAGGGGTCGCTGCCATCGCTCACAAATGTCGTGCGGGTGCAGCTCTCGACCAGTTGTGTTGCATGCTCAAGGGTTGGGATTTGGGGCTTCGAAATCTTATGCTTTCCGCACCACGTCTGGATAGTAGACAGGAGGTTTTGGTTGGGCGTCAGGTTGAAATGATCCAGGATTTGGCCAGTTTTAAAACAATGCCGGTTGCCTTGCTGGAACCATATCTGTATGCATTGACGTTCATAGCTGATGCCGGAGGCGACAATCACGGGTTCAGCCATTAAGGATTTGGAGATCGGGCACAAAAATTCCGTTGGGAAGTTTTTCCCGGATTTCCTGGACTTGTGGAGGAAAGACCACGAGCTCTTCTTTGGCGAATCAGCCATCCCTTCCCCATGAGCACCATTAGCGATTCTAGGTGAGCTGCCTGGCGTGATGCCCGAACCACTGGGGGAGGAAGAATCTAGCGCTCCTCCGCCAGTCTCGTCGGCGGTAGATGCCTCGCCATTCTCCTCCTTCTTAGCATCTTTAGATTTCTTCCTCCCTAAATGCATGCGATACATGGCCAGGGAGATGGTCTCAGTCAGGATCTACTACAGATGGACAGAGAGAGGAGGAAGAGAGGGGGAAAAAAAAAAAAAACTACACCACCTCTCTGTCCATCTTCCACTCACTGCCTCGTCTAGGTCAGAAAAACCACGACGTTACCTCAATAAATAAAAATAATAATACTAACACACCAGCCCGCTCCGCAACCCACTAAGCTACCAACACGCAAGAATGTTGCTCTCCCTCAAACACAGGCCACCCTCAAGGCCTGTGACAAAAACCCTTCAAAGGAGTCCGAAAAGTAGCACCCTGATGTGGCAGCACGTACAACCTGTAACTCCCAGCCCTATTCCCTACTCACACTACTACTACTACTGCTGCTACTTCACATCCTGCCATCCCTCACAGCAACAACCCCCACAGTTTCACCGAACACACAGCAGCAGCAGCATCCTTCCAAAGCCGCGATTAGAGCAAACTCCTCCAAAATGAATCCAATGAACACCAACACGGAACGCGCTTAGCGAACTGAGCTTGACTTAGTAAAATCCCATCACATGTTATCCCCACAACCTTCGCAACCCCTTGCGGGAAAAATGTAATACGATTCTAAATGGCCCCAATCACACCCTTGTCCAGCTATCATCCTCCCCATAGAGAGAGAGACACACACTAAAAACAAAATAATATTATTAATAATAATGATAATGTGAAGAAGAAGAAGAAGAAGAAGAAGAAGTTGAAATTCTGCACCAAAACTTGAGCCCCGAGAACGGCGTCGCCAATCCGTCCGATCATCGCACCGCCCGGATCATACGGTCAAAGATCCTCGAAATCCCGACTGAAATGTCAACTGAGTGTGACGAAGTCTACGCGAAGAATATGTGCAGCAGACAGGGGAAATTGGGGAGGGAGGGAGCGAGGTCGGGAAGTCGGGGGGGGGGGGGGTGGGTCTTAAGCCAGTCTTGAGGAGGAGGCCGAAGTACTTACTTCTCCAATCCCAATAGACTTCGATTACAGCATGCGAAATTCAAAAGCAACGCCCCAAAAGATCTTGCGAGTCAGGTGTCCAGCCTGGCACTCACTGGCTTTTCTACGGATGAGATTGAACTGGGATCTGCATCGACCGTCCGGATTGGTAGAGCCGTATCTTAGGGTGGGGATCCATCCACTGTTTCTGCTAAATTAAGTGGGCGTTTTAAATTTTGCATGTCAGCCTGGATTTGAAGTTGTTGTGGCGTTCACAGAATGGTCAGGTCTTCCAGAACCTTTCCCATCGTGTTCACACTGTGTTTGTCCTCGTGGATGAATGAATTATGTGTGGATGAGTTTTAGTGGGTACGTTCATCTACTAGTTTCGGGCAGAGTGCAGAACTCTCTCACCCATACCCTGCCCGCCTGCCTGACCACCCACTCCTGTCTTTTGATGCAATTCTTACTGTTCCTTTGCTTTAGTGTGTTTGCGTGTGTGCCTTGCCGCTTTTAGGGTTTTGTTAGGTGTGTTGAGGTTCCTCCGCCTTGCTTCATTGTTGCTTCATGTTTATTTTCTCTTCTCTTCTTCTCCTTAGATTCCTTCATTCTCTTTTGTATGTGTTTGGTGATGGTTGTTGTTTGAGCTTGGCGTTTGATTTTGGTAGTGTTTTTTGCTTTGTTTTGTTGGTACCTACTCGTATGTTTTGTTCAATTGTGTTTACTGTTTACTTGGTTGTCCTCCTAGGTTCTACTTGTGGTTTGCTACAGTTGTGTTCTACTTTGCTTAGTTGCAATGTAAACCATTATTATTTCTCTAAAATCTGTTCAATAGTCAACAAAATCTTACCATAATCATAGTAATACATCTTTAAAATTATTTTTGAAAAAAAAACAAAACAAAACAAAACACAAGCCTAAATGTAATTTACATAAAATCTAAAATTTTGGGTTTCTGTTTGTTCCTTGATATATCTTCAAGTAATTATTCTATGTATTATTTTGAGTTTGAATTGTTTTACAATATTACTATACAATACCAAAAATTCATAACTATTCATCTTCTCTAGAATAAAATGTAATGTTTCATCCTTAAAAAAAGTAATGGTATTTTTTTTTTCAATTTTTTTTAACCAGTTATATTGCATTAAATGTTTATTTGTATGTATGTCTTTAGATAGCTTTTGACTTCTTATTATTTTATGTGTTCTTCAGTTTAATGAAATTTGCATTATATTACTCTGATATTCAACAAATCTAATTTTGGAAACACATTATTTATTGAATACTTGTTTAATATGTTAGATGTTTTATAAGAACTAAGTAGAAATCCATTTTCCATTATTAAGTCTATGTTTAAATTCTATTAGTTATATGTTATCTATTTTAGAATTTTCATAAAGAAATGTTATATATATATATATATATATATGTGTGTGTGTGTGTGTGTGTGTGTGTATGTGTGTGTGTCTCTCTTTTTCAATATACAAAGGGTGTATAATAAAACAAAACTACTTAACAACAGATTGAGCAAGTTTTTAATTACAATATTTTTATAACTTACATTGAAGTTGCAAACCAGATATATTACTTTACCTCTTACTTTTTATCATTTTTTGATACATTCTTAGCAATTGTTAAGCAAAATTCTATGACACAAAGTGACAAGGCATTATTTTTATGCATACATCACATAAAAGAATATTGAATACTTAAATTTATAAAAATATTAAATTTGATTAGATATGGAAAAAATCATAAAAAATTATAAAAATAATAATTGAATGACATACGTTGATTCATACACCATAAATATTTACTCAAATTCTGCCCGAAAGAAGCAGACGGGCCAAGGTTAGGCAGGGGTGGAGAATACTACATGGGCATTGGGCAGATCACGACCTGTCAGCGGGCAGGAAACTTGCTGCCTGCCTGCGATTGTGGACGAACGTAGTCAGCCACCCATTAATGAGGTCATTCATCAATGGATGACGAAACGCATTCATCCAAAGCCCACAATGCCAGGGATGTCATCCGGAATGAGTTCCTGCACATTCCGGGATTTTCCTTCACGAATTTGCCGCAATGGGTGTTTGTTTACCCTGTTAAGTCAATCATCCGGACAATTGCTGGTGCTTTTTTCAGCTGTACAGGTCACCGAAACCCTCCACAATCTTTCTACGGACGCTGCTGCCACTGGCATTGACCGCCATAGTGTAAAAATGCCCGAGACATGATTATTATAAATAAAAAAGCAGGGTTGACAGGAGTGTCATGAAGTTGGGCACATCGACATGTTCGTGCGTTGTTTTCACACAGCTGCACGCATGAATTTCAGTCCCCGCTAGTGCCATAGTTCATGCGACTACTTCATTACTTGGCTTCGTGTGCAGACATCAGTAACTCCCGGTACATTATTGTAATTTGTGCTGTGTGCTGATGAACTGTTGAACATTCACTGTTGGCAAAGCACAAGAATGGTCAGTTCAATGATTTATACCTTACCCAGGATTTTTTCTACATGATTTAGACATTTCTTAATACCTAAAATGTGCCCAAATTCTCAAATTCTCAAATTCTCAAAAAAAAAGCTTTTGAGGGCTGCGGCCGACGAAATGATGCCTCACGGATGTAGCGAGGAGACAATGTCGTCACGAATTAAAAGTCTAGAGTCGAGACTATAAATGATTAACTCGGAGGTTATTGTTCAAAACTTACAAATGCCACTCCGCCAGCAAGCCAGTTTACGCAAAAGTCCTGTGCACCGACAATTGACCAAGACCACATTCATGACACGAAGATAAGGAGTAGGACAAGTCTCACAAGCCGCTTGTGCCCCAGAACATTTTTAAAAAGACAAATATACACTCTTGGAAACGGTGCAAAGCCGGTAACATACGTAAAAGTGTGAAACCATGAGAATCAGCGCAAGGCTGCACGTAAACTCTGCCTCTGCAAAGAAAGGATCCAGGTAGGATATCAACATCACGTCGGGATGTAAATGACAGTGGCATCCACGTACTCTATCTATCCCCACCCCTAAGCTTCTAGACCATGCGATAAGAGCCACGAAACAGTAATTCCAAATGTTGTGGGGGCACCTGAACCAGAAACATGTGCCGGTATGATCCGATGCCGAAACCGAAACCGAAACAAGTGAAACCAGCGCACACTGACAAAACGAAACTGCTCGTGCCACTGCGAGTGAAAAAGACTAAACGGGGCAAAACAAAAAGACCAGGAGAGCCGGTGATAATCGGTGACAATTTTGGGGCTACATGTTGACAATCTTCCAGTGGAGATGCTGCAGGAATGCGATTCCAGAAGCGTTGAGATTCGGAAGTCAAGTGGAATCGGTACAATGCCATAGTATGTGGGTGCAAGTTGGCTCATAACTGTCCCTAGAAAAAGTGGGATGTAGTGCTGCTGCTGCAGACTTTGCAACTTCAGAGAAATCCAAAAGCAGGACAAATCCTAACTCCTCACCTCTTACATAAAACACACCAATGGTATAAATCAAAGGAATTTGATCTCTAATTGGCTACATCTCTCATTGTTTTCATCAAAAGTGAAGTAAAAGTTAAGTTATGCAGCAATTCACAGAGCCTTAATAACAATTCACTTCTATCTCAAAAAAAGATATATTGGCTTTTGATTCAATTGTCATTGTTTTCATCAAAACCTTTTGATTAAAACAATGAAGCAAAAGTTTTTTTTTATTGAAAACATGATTGAGTGATGTAGCAAGCCATTCTTGATAACACTATGGCATTAAGGTGTATTGGCTCATTTTTATTCTTGATAACACTATGGCATTAAGGTGTATTGGCTCATTTTTATTATATAAGTACGATGTAATCTTACTCAAATAATTGAGCAACATATTTTTATTGGAATTTCAAATTGACACATTCAAATTTTGCATGAGAATTGCAAAAACAAGTGCCTCTAATGTTTAGGATTTAGTAGCAAGTCATTATCATCACCAATTAATGGAATTGATATTTGAAGTCTATTTTATGACCAAATTTAAATATCGCAAGGTAGATGCTACAATGTCACCACTAGTCTCTATGGGGTCCTTTGGTTATATTGACATCCCTATATATTTGATATTCTTTTGCTAGAGGCATATTATAAGATAAGTATTTGTTGAAATTTAAGAATTCTTCTCCTTTATCTTTTAAATTTGTAGTATATCCCTTATTGCTAGGTTTTGATATACTTATGATGGGTGTTGGCAAGACAATATACATAGGGATATAAGAAACTTTAGAGTTTGTTTTTTTGGTCACATGATTCCAAAGATACTATAGCATGATTTTCACAATGTGAAATTGATTTGAAGGTGATATGATTTTTATAGGTGTATTACTATATTATCTTTTTCTTGATACAATTTGAAAATTATTGGTTATATATATATATATATATATATATTTAGATTAATCCTAAAGTGATGGTATTTTCATTTTACACAAAGAGATCTCAATTGGCTTTTGCATTTTGCACAAGGAATTGCTAGCTATGTAGTGACCAAGTCAAGTGAGAAGGTAAAGCCAATCTCCAGTTGCAAAACCAATCTTCAACAAAAAAGCCGAAGAGAGAGGTACCATGGATATTATAGAAGTCATAATCATCTTTTTTTAGGGAAGAGCTTAATTGTATCAATTCAATATGTACAATGACATTGTCACTTTTGTATATAATATGGTGCAATCAAGCTTGTGATGGAAAACAATGATTGCAGTATTCTTTTAATTTTTTTTTAATATTAATAGATATTTTTTTAAATAGTCAATGGCTATCCAAGTATTGAGGATAGTCTTATTTCTAGAATATATCTTTTAATATTAAAAACAATTGATAAAGACAAGAAGACTAAAAAGTCCTAAAACAAGATTAAAGACTAGAAAGGCATTAACAAGAATGAAGAAGGCTTCATTTTTGCCTCCATATATATTATCTAACTAGGAGTTACATGTCAACATTCTATTGGATCTCCAATACATGTTCAATTTGCAAGACACGTATCTTAACTTATAAGATATGTTTCTTATATGCACACCAAATCTTTAGCTTGTACCATAAGCTACTCACATGTGCAATATATGGCTAATTTTTTGGCCAAATTCTTGACCTATCAATCAACTATATATATGTTTAAAGTCAAATACATGTCTATGAAGCTTCTAAGAAGCTATATCACACAATAATATCAAATCTACCTACATTTACCTTCTATCTAGTATTTCTTATCTAAGTAAATATATATGTCCGTGATACAAAGACAAATTACAACACAAGTTTGTGTCCTAATGTATTGGTCTTAGTTTTTTTGTAGGATCTCATCTTAACACTACTCACATATTATTTTTTATTTTATTTTATTTATTTTTTTGGTAGAGCAATGAATGATTCAAAATAATATGTTTGATCTTAACAAAATATTGGATTCGTCAATAGACCTCAAAATATTATTTTCTTTTAGACTCCTCTAAATTTCTTAATGTTGGACTTTAATACATGCATTCAAGTAAATGTACAAGGCTATTTTTTACATACTTTAAAAAACCTATAGAAAGTTGATTTTCCATGACAACAACTTATTGTATAATGCTAAATCCCCCCTCTTCTCTCTCCCCCTCTTCATTCCTAGTCTTAGCTACTAATAAAATTATACTTGTCATTTATTTGAATTGAAACTACAACCAAATTATACTAAATTTAAAATTAAATTAGATTAATTAATTATTACTATTTTAGTTTTTTAATAAAAATTTGTAAATCACATTACTATGTGAACCTTAAAATATTCCATTTTATTGCTTATATTAATATTTGAAGATTTTTTAAATTTTTAGTTTAAGATGAATAAAATCTTTATTAGCATTTTTACCATTGTATCATGCTTCATGTGTATTATTTCATCTTTGATTTCTTTTCAAATGAAGTATTCTTATATATAAATTATATTTCATATAAAAATAGGTTTTGATTTTTTTTAAGAAATACCATGCATCTTTGGTTGTTGCATATAATAGATGTTACCTTTATTTTATCAAATAAAAATATATCATAATATTTTTAATCAAAATAGCTTCTATAATAAATTATTTTGTTAGATGTACTTCATATTTATAGTAGAGTTTGAATTTTAAAATTTCTTCTTATAATTCTATGAGATGACATTTATTTTTATTATTTTTAAATATAAAATTTATATTTTTATATATATTAGATAATAATTTTTTAAAATATAATATCATTTTGTGTGTCTCCTTTTATAAGCATTAAAACTCTACTACTATATGTCATAAAAATAATTGGCACTTATAATTATCTAGATAAAAAGAATTAGATAGAGGTAAGTAATAATATATAACTTTGATAATATCTTTTGGAAAGGCTTTTTAGAAGCTTCATATACTTGGATTTGACTTTATATATGTTTTTAGGTGATTGATATATTAAAAACTTGGCCAACAAGTTGGTCATATGGTACACACATAAGAAACTTGTCTTGCAAATAAGAAATGTGTCCTATAAGTTGGACACATGTTGGAAGTCCTAAAGAACATTGCCATGTAGATCCTAGTTAGATAGTATATATGGATGCAAGAGTGAAGCCTTCTTCACTCTTGTGAATATTGTTTTTTGCTTTTAGTCTTGTTTTAAGAATCTCTAGTCTTTTTATATTTAACAATAGCCATTCTGGTTCTAATATTGTACTCTCTTTGAAAAAATATATACTAGTTTTTAGTGACAAAAGAGTGTATTAAGACTTTTATTGTTTGCAATTCATATCCTTGATACAATATTGTATAGATTTTATTATATTATATTATATTATATTTATTTATTTTCTTCTAAATTTGAATCTATATATGAATATTCATATATAATTTAAAAAATATATTTTATCCTTATTTTTGATCATTAATCATTTATTACTAATATTAAAAAGAATGCAAAAAAAATTATACTATTTTATATACAAAAATATAGAAAATATATTTATATTGATTTATAATTATAATTTTTTTAACTATAAGATTGAATAAAATAAAAAATATAATTGCTCAAAATTTATTATCTCATATTATTTTGATTAAGTCTTAGTTTTTTTTTTTTTTTTTTTTTTTTTTAATTTAAAATTTAAAAGTTTTTGTAAAGTTAATAAAAAATTATAATTAATGATAAAAAAATTAATGTCTAAATTATCATATGAATTTAATATTTTTATTAAAGCTATTATTCTTGAAAAAAAATTAAGTATTAAATTAATTAATATATTTGAGTACAAACACTAAAACATTAATTAATGATATTAAGGATTTTTCTAAAAATTGCAATTAAGAATGTATATATAAAAATTATTTCATAATATTTTTTATATAATGTTATAATTTTTTTAATTATATAAGCAATTTTTTAAGAGTTATCTTATTTATATATATATTTATTTATTTATTTATGAATAATATCTAATATATATAAACTCATATAAAAAACTATTATATAACTAATTCATAACTCATATAAAAAAATATTATATCAGTTCAACTAAAAATACTATTGAATGCCTTTTAACTTTGATACAAAAATCATAATTATTTAAGGACTTGTACCTTGTACTACCTTAGCCAACCATATAACATTTCTTAAGATATTTAAGAGTGATTAATCAAAATAACTATTCAACATACAGTAATACCAAATAAGATAAAATAAAGATACAATATTAGTTTGTAATTTATTTAAAAAAAAAATACTATGAACATATAAACCATACTAAGTTTAAAGTGTCAAGTTTTTATATCTATAAATTTTAATTATTGAAATCAAACAAATAAACAAATAAACAACAAGATTCTAATAGATGCATTCTATCAATTCTTTTTGATAGATGAAACTTGGAAGATAATGTGTATATAATGGTATTTTTTATTACATAAAAATATCTTCAATTTCTACTATTTAATTTATATCCATAGAATATGTGTGTGTGTATATATATATATATATATATATATATATATTTCATAATCACACAAATATGATGTTCTGAAAATTGCTACACAAATGGTAGCTACCATTATAGTTGTGGATTTATACATTTTTTATTTTATTTATTTATTTTTATTGCAATCTTTGTAAGAGATGTTAATATTCATATAATTTTATAATATTCAAAATATTTTTAAAAGAATAAAAAGCACTGAATTAAGACTTTAACCTTCATTTGCAATTTTCACCAACATTGATGTAGCAAATATATATATATTTTTTGACATATTAATTAATTAATTATTATTATTTTTTATGCATTGTATTTCACAACTAATTACATTTATGGTAATTTGAAGTAAAGACATGCAAGTATATAACAACATTGTATCAGGTTGCTCAAAGTGGAAATATAGTAAAGCCATTTATGATTAGGTGAACAACTAATGTCAAATTAAGTTTTTATTAATAAAGTCTAAACAATAAAACTCACATAACAAGTCACTCATAATGTCATTTTTTTACATAATTTGGTTTTTTGCAATTTGATGAGGAATTAAAAGGTTGAGGTAAAGTTATTATTTTTTCTAATAGATGTCTCTTGTCTAATTAGCATTTTACATATGATCTTTATCTATTAGTAATTGGAAAGCATCAATAAAAGTATTTTTAATTTAAATAATTTGTGCTTTTATATTATACAATTATTTTTAATCAAATCATTTTCATACCAAGTCTTAATTCTTCATGTAATATTATATATATATATATATATATATATTTGCATCTTAAGACACAACTATGAATTTCACAATTACAAGATGTAAGAGAAATTATATAAAAAAAAATATACACAATTTAAAAGAAGAAATTATGTGAAAAGAAATTTTATCTGATTCTTTATTTATTTAATTAAACATTAAAACCACACATCTTGTAGCTACAAATTCAATCATGGTTGCTACAATACTCAAATCATTGCTTCAACTCAAGTTATTGCCATGGTTTATTTCAGTTTTTTGCCTAAAAGCAATCTACTTTTTAAAAGATTTTAAATATTAACTGAATCTAATACTTCTGTCATGTTTATAAGACATTGAAATTCTTCACCGATTCAGTTACCACTATAGTCTTCAATACTGAAAGATACAACTACTTCATATTTAAATTATAATAACCCACTATTGAATTTAAAAAAGACAACATTCATCAAACTTTATTGCATATATACAATACACACACTTGTACGTAAACAATTGAACATTCCAATATTTTGCACAACCTGACGAAGTAATTGCAATATCAAAGCACACAACTTCGTCTAAATAACACAGCCTTACAACAAAAAAACTCAAAAAGAAATCCAAGGTTTCCAAAATTTAACCCTCATTTTATAAATGAAACCATTGTTTAAACATAACCCGTTGCAGGAACTCTAGAAAATTACACCACTTTACAGTCTCTCCGGAACAAAAGAAGCAGATCTTCAAACACCTAAAGTTGATGATCTGACAATAGACTCATCTTCACAGAAACAATACCAATCATGCTTAAAGTTCAGTGGACATGCTGTGGATAAGGTCATTTCCTGTTTTTTTAATTTTTATCCTGAACTCGCAAATGAGGGATTTACGCTACAACCTCGAGCATGTTGAGGGAGATGAGATGTGCAAAACTACTGAAACCACAAGAACGGATAAAAAAAGATGGGAAAACACAAATAAAATGTTGCAGAAGTGGTTCTTGTTTAAAGCATACAAAAAGAACAGATCAACTTACGGCTACACTTCGCTCAATCGTCCTTTGAAGCTTTGGATCGCACCAGCTGCAGCAATTCTCTGGCATCCGCAAGCAGCTCCCAGATATCGAGATGACCAGCCATGCCATTGCACTCCCTCACAAGATCATCCTTCTCGGTGTAATTGAGAATGTTTTTCCTCTTCGTGCGCACAGCAGCTGCAATGGTGTAGAGCAGCAAATCTCGTGAAGGTGGACCCAATTTATCCCTCATTTGGCTGTCACCACCGCCCTTTTTATTCTCAATGGCTGCCCAGTCAGCCCACATGACTTCCCACAAACAAAGTGTCTGCTCAAAGCTCAGCTCCCTTCGCATGAGCACCACCACCATTCGGTAGACAAATGGACAATCCTCGCACCCTAAACTCTTGAGATGCAGGTAAAGCTCAGGGTCGGCAGTCTTGATGATGGAACTGACCATGTTCAGCTGCCGACGAATGCCCACCTCATCGACGCGGAAGTTGTGACGTGCAAATTCCATGAACTTCACTAAGCACCAGAATGCTTCATAATCCTTGTCGAACAAGGCTACAAAGGGGGACAACAGATCACTCATCCCTTGACAATACCCCGTCTCAGGATCATACATGGTGTAAGCTTCCAGAATGAGCACTACCCGTGCCGCATGGTGTCTCATCGGTGGTTCCAGATGCTCGTCGTCCATGAGTCCCGCTTCTTTAGACAGCCGCTCTGCCTCTTGGGAAGTCACACTTGCCTGCGTCGCTGCATACGGAATCCACTCCGCGTTCATCCGCACTGCATCTAACTTAATGATCCGCCGCCATGTCTGGAAATTTTCTTCCTCATCAGGCACCTTCTCCCCTGCTTGTGTGCCATCCACTTGCTCGAAGTCACTAAGAGCCTCCTCACCCTGGTCATTAAGGGTTTTGGCTGCCTTAGCACACTGAGCACGCAGCTCCTCGTACTCCTCATGCTTTGTAAATTGCACAACCTCTCGCTCCGCCAAATTGCTGTCTAAATCATACACTCCAAGCAGGAATGGCCATACCTGAGCTCGGATGGCGGGCTCGACGCCTCCGGCACGCACCTTGTATATTATCTTCTCCCCGCCATCCAACAATTTACCCTCCTCCGAGTCGAAGCTGGCAATCCAGTTCTCATTACTCAGAGGCGAATGATACCGCTTCGGTGTAATTGCAAAAGGAAGATCGAACGGCAACCTCCCCTCGTTATAATAGATAAATCCTCCAACAGCCGCAGCAACGGCCACGCCCGCTACGGCCGTGACCACCCCAACTCCCACAGAGGAGACATATCGTTGAGAGCTTCCTGAGGACGGCATCTCCCCAAATGCAAACTCATACACCGGAACCCAACTCCTGCTCACACCAAATGTTGCTCCTCCTGCATCGATCGACCTGCTTTCCACGGAGACACACCCACCCAATGCTCATCATCGGGTTTTCAAGCTGCTCACGAGGAGGATCATCGTCGCAGCATCTTTCGCCACCAAATGGCAGATGGCAGTCAGAATTGCACCGGTACATCGTAAAAGAGATTGCTGTTCCGTCGTTACTGTCCAAGTCATCAGCCACGTTGGACGCCACGGATGCCGATAGATGCATTATTTTGCGTCATTTTGGTGGGTTCCGTTTCTTCTGCCACCCCTTTGCCTTGAAGGGCTACCAGCCTTATCACTCTAAAACTCATTTGCTTTGCCTTCCTGACTCTGCACTGCGTCTGTAGGTGTAACTTGATTGTCATTAACACATTTTGTTGACCTACTTTTGTTACTCGTGTTAAGTGAGTGATCGATCGGCAGGTCAATATTTATCAGGGAGCTGCTGTTGGGTCCAACCATTGACGAAGGAGTAGAGGAGAAAATATAGGGTTGGGTGGTGGTCGTCGTGGTTTTGCTGCTACACTGAACTCCAAGCAATCATGAATCCGCGAAGGTGGTTTTGCGTCCTTTGCTTTTCTTGTTTTTGACTGCTTCTTTGCCGTCTTGGGGTTGTTGTATTTGGAATCAAGTTATTACAACCATTGAAATAGTCGAATACGGCGGAATAGGGTTTGTTGGTCTTCCCAATATCTGACGTCTTGACAGGGATTATAGGGGTACTCGGAGCCAGCTACTTGAAATGGAAGAGGGAGGGCTTCGAACATCGGCACCCTATGCGTCCAGTGCTGAGATTGCGGAGCAGGAGAATGAGCGGAGTTTAGGAGAACTGGAAGATCGTGTGAAACTTTTTAAAAGGGTGAGAGGCTTTCTTTGTACATATACTCTGCACAGCGCCGAAGCATCGTTGCATTTGTCGGATCGAAGAAAAAAAGTATTTTCCGTTATCGTGTTTACAGAGTAATAATCGTACTTTACTTGAAATCGACATCTGAGGGGATCAAATGTGGCATTTGGAAAACATTACAGAATTTGAGATAAGGCATGTGCATAATTTCGGCGGAACTATTTCGGCTCTCGTTTGAAATCGCAGAAACAGATCATAATATTCAGCGAACAGGGAACTTAGAAGGGCAAGTCCATGACCATGTCCTGTGTATAGGAAAAGAATTGCGCAGGAGCCAAGAAAACGTATTGGTCCTCACTGTGAATGTAATCCTTGACCAACATAACATTTTGTGCTCTACCTGCAGTATTATGCCAGTCTAATGGCTACATTCTTGATCCAAATCGGATTGGACCTATAATTTTTTAGCTGCAGACTTCACCTAAACCGGTAGAGGACACTTGAAATCTGTCTGGATAGACAGTCTATGGGTAAATTTTGGATTTCTTTCTTTTGTTTGTAGTTACAACTTGTCCAAGTGGATTGAGGCTTTCAAGGTTATGTTGCTTGTAGTTGGCAGGTGATGTACAGGACGAGGTGGACAGCCACAACAAGCTACTGGAAGGAATGGTAATTCATTACTTGTTGAGTGTCAATCCAAATTTTTTTTGCCCCTTTCTTTCGCTATTGCATTCTCATGTTGCGGCTTGTGGAAATCACTTAATTTGGAATGATTTTAATGATATTTGGAGAAAAGCTGCTTCAGGATTGATAAATATATAGAGGAAGGCGTATGATTTTGGTTCTTGTATGTATACGGCTTTTAGGTTTATTTACATTCTCCGCTTTGCAGGGAAATGCTATGGATGCATCGAGGTCAATGATGGCTGGAACCATGGCTCGATTCACAAGGGTAAGGACTAATGCCTCCCCGAAACGCTGCTGCTACTGGAACCTTGAATAGGATAGCTGTTTCTGTGATAGTTAAGTCGTGTACGAATTTGTTCGAGGATCACTGTAATGTTCAACGGTTTGGCTTGATTTGATGTGTTAGCTTTTGTTGTGTTAACTAACCAGTCATTTTTGGTGTGCAGGTTTTTGAGACAAAGTCATCTCGCAATATTGCGACAATTGTTGCATCATGTGTGGTGATATTCCTACTTGTCTATTATTTAGCAAGATGAGTAACCGCCGTCAAGATTCAGATACTCTGTAACATATGGATTTGCACTAAGTGGTGTCCTCTAGTCCTTCCTGCCATAAAATATCGTACGTATATGATGAGCAATCACTGAACTTCAACTACAGAAACTACAATAGTTTTGGAGATAAGGGCAAGCCTCTGTCCATGTGCGCCTTGAGACAAGATCCTTCAATGATTTTGTGGGGCCCGCTCTGTAGCAATATTTGACTATTACTTGTATTATCCACTGAACAAAGTTTCCTTTGCGGTGCTTCAACTTTGATAGGACAACAAGAAATTCACGCTTTGTGCTGTATTCTCCCTCATATCTGTGAACGGCGATGGATTTTGTATTTGTTTTAATTTAATTTAATTTTTCTGAAACACGCAGAACTTGCTGATTTTTTTTTATACGTTTTATTTGCTGAACATGCAATCTTGTTTAGACCTATCCTTAGTAGTCTCATAGCTTGTATGAACCTATGTGACGTTTCTGAAATCAATGAATGGTTTCTAATTATCACAGTCGGATACAATCGTACTTTTGCCGCATTAACAAGAGCAAGAGTGTATTCCCGAAAGCCAATCCCCTTTTCCAATATGAATGAAACCAAGAACTGAAGCAAGAGCAAGTAATGGTGCAAGCAATGTCCGCTGCGGCGGAAGCTCCCATTCCTCATCAAACTCGCTCTGAGTTGAGAACTTCAGGCCGCTTTCTACATGCTGGAAACTACATGTAAGACCTCATTAAAATGGCGTTGCAGCATAGAGGGAACTGAACAGGCATCTTGAAAAGTAGCGGAATAATCACAAAGCATCATGCTTGATTCCTCTATGTGTCTTTTCCAAATGAATCCTTATGGCAGGAGCATAGCCTCGGGGATAGAATTCCAACTTCGTTTTTCATTTCATTAAACTTAAACCCAAAAGTCACATCACAGACAGCCGAAGGCATATTATTTGCTTGGGTACTTGGGGATATTCCGGAAAGGAGGATCTCGAGGACCAGCTGCAGGAAGAGGGTTGGAGAAGTGGTGGCGATGCAATGGAATATGGTCTCTGATTTGACAAACGGATCTGGCATGACCATCCGCCGTCGTCGTCGTCACAGCAGACCAGTGTAGTTTTTCATTTGCTTTGGAGGGTGCTTCTCTCTCTCCTACCAGCCAGTGCTGCATTGTTGCTGTTGGAGCTGGAAAGTATACAGCAAAGTCATCAAACGAAGATTTGTATAGAATTAGCCGAGTTGGGTGTGTGGAAGAGAAAGAGAGTTAAATGGCAGCGACGCTCTTCTCGGGAACTCTGTCGTTTCATGCTGAGGTGCAGCAACACCGATCTCATGTGAAGTACCAACAATTGAAGTATTCGCTTGAGACAATTGCTGGGGGGAAAATCAGTGACGATGGTGTTTTCGTCACCTTAAACTGCTTGCCTTTCTCCCTATCAGTAGATAACATCACCCAGCATACTCGAACTGTTCTCCTACTTAAGAGTAGAAACAGAGTGCAGCGCAGCGTTTGCGTTGCATCTCTCAAAGACCAGCAACAGGAGGTATTCCATCCCCTGGATAAGCAATTGAAACCCATCGAATTGCTTTCGCCAACTCCTTCTTGTGGAAACGGAATTGCAAAAGGGGAGGAGACTGCATTCTTCCAAATCTCCCCAGAGGACAGTGGATTTTCTCGCAGCAGAACCCGATGAAAATAGCGTCAGCTTGGAGGAAGAGGTCAAGTCCGAGGAGGCCATTTCGGGAACAATCGCAAGCACCGTCGTAGCCATTGTTGCGCTTCTCGCAGTCGTGGGAACTAGTGGAGCTCTGGGCGTTGTGTTCAAAGTACAAATAAATGACATTCTCACTCAATTCTCGGATTTTCTGGAAGGTTGGTAAAATCCTCTGAAGCATGCAGAAATGTTTTTGAACATCTCATTTTATTGTACTCAATTTTCTGTGTATGAGTTCGTTGAGATTGCCTCCCTACAATACAAAGTTGTCAGTACGTAGACTGCTTCAAATAACTTCTTTAATTCAGCATTCTTGAGAGTAAGTAGGATTATGATTTGATATTGTGCTGATTGTTCTACTGTGGCTTTGGAAACCAGGTTATGGTCCTGCTGGATATGCCCTCTTTGTGATTGCGTATGCAGTATTAGAGGTTTGCCTCCTTTCATCACCTTATGTATTTGCCGGTTGATACTCGTAGACATTTGGCCTATATTAAGGATACAAATATGCCCAAGATCGCAGGGTTGTTTCGAATGACCAGTTAGGAATATCACAGTTGCATCCAAAGAGAAGAATTGGGTTTGCTGCTGCGAGTTTTTGTGTGAAATTGCGACTTCCAAGTGTTTGGATTCAAATCTACAACAATTTTGCATCATTTATGATCGCTTCACCTAGTTTAAATGAAACTCATTGCTCAGTTTTGCTGAATAATGGTCTAGTCTGATTGTGGGCAAATCTCAGGTTCTTGACATTCCAGCTATTCCATTGACGATGTCAGCTGGGTTGCTGTTTGGTACTCTATACGGGACAATTCTGGTCTCCATTTCAGGCACGGTGTGCTGATTTGAATAAACCAAAACTGTTTCTATTAAGTGCATCTGCTCATGCAATCTTTTGTATTTGAATCACATTTTTGGTAACTGACTTTGTCTTAAACAAACTTCAGCTTGCAGCAACAGCTGCTTTTCTGATAGCGCGATATTTTGCGAGAGATCGTATTTTGAAGGTGGCACAAAATAATCCGAAGTTTCTGGCAATAGATAAGGCTGTTGGTGCAGATGGCTTCCGGGTGGTAACTCTGCTGCGGCTCAGTCCCTTGCTTCCTTTCTCTCTTGGAAACTACCTATATCGTCTCACGTCCATCGAATTAGGCCCCTATGTGCTTGGAAGGTACAGCATTTTAAGACATACCAACACCTAGGATTGTGGTTGTTTGCACTTTCCACTATCTGGGGTGTTCTGGTCAGTGCGTTTCTACTGTTCGCTGCACCACAGAATGTCCCTTAATTGTTTGTTCCGTGTTATGTAGCTGGTTGGGTATGTTGCCTGGGACATGGGTATACGTGAGCGCAGGTGCATTTGGAAGGGCTTTCATCGTAAGTTACAATTGTACATTATATTTGCAACATGTGTTTTTCTCAGCTGTTGTGTCTCTGCGTAGTGTGCATTGAGACATTTGCAAACGTTGTGTTGAGATAATTGCAGTTTGCCATTTGTTGAATAGAAGTTTTATTAGTTGAGGGTTTCTACTTCTAAGACTGTTGTAAAGCGACGATCTTACATGTAATCTGATTGGTAGTTGGAAGGTCAAACATGCTTGAAATGCCTCACCAGTTGTAGATTGTATCAGACTTGCTTCTGAAAGGGTCTGTTCGATGATTTGTAAAATTTCGACTTGAATGTCGTTTTTCTTTTTTTTCCCTTTCTTTCTTTCTTTTTTCTTTTTCAGAGGAAGCCTTTCCAGAAGCAAGGATCAGAGGCAGCCTTCCCAGAAGGTCCAGAAAGTTACTGGACACTAGGATTAGGCTTGGTGGCCACCATTTTGCAGCGTTGTATGTTGGTAAACTATCCAAGGTTTGCCGCTTTCTCTCTCTCTCTCTCTCTTTTTTTCATTTTCATTTTTTTTTTTTTTTTTTTTTTTTTTTTTCCATTAATGAGCTACTGGACATGAAGAACCTTTTTGGTCAAAACCTGAGGCAAACTTGCCACACCTGCTGTAGTTTTGTGTCACTGTCCATAAGGAATTTTTGCAGTGGCTGATTTTATGTATATTGTACATTCTTACATTCGATCCTATGTGACTCTGCATGTAATGGCAGGACGCAATGGACATGGAAGATGTTTTAGGCCGACTGTCATGTGGAGTCTGTACAGTGCTACTCAGTCCTAGCAAGGTGGAGCTTATCGAAAGGGGCGTCAGGCTAATACTTATCAAGCTGACACTATTGAAATAGTCACAGTGTACATATATTCATTTGTGATTCTTCTCACATATGAAACTTGGAACTAGATGGTAAAGCAATAGTTTTGTGGTAGACCAACAGTCTTTATCAGTCGAGCTGACTTCTACAATATGATCTTACAATTTTGCATGTTAAATTCGAGTCATCGTAAGTACAACTGTAATTTAACGACGTTCATGTCGATGTAGGGTTATGACTGCCATGCAGAGTTGGATTCTACTTATAAGTTGCGACATGAGTCATAGGTGGAGTTGGCAAGATGGAGCACGTAGTTCGGTATGATTTTTGGCTGTTAGGGTGCTTGTTCTCATCGGCCCTTTCAAATACTTGGAAGGATTTCAGTGTATTGTGTTGAAGCATTTGCAACCCTCTTGGTTGGGAGCAGCTGAGACAGATGCAAGCTGCTTTCAGGAATCTTACTCGTTTTATGGGGCAGCTTTGAAGGATGTGACCCGTTGATTCTCATCACCTACTTGTGCTGTCTTCTGTCAGGGTTGTAAAGCTTCAACAAGACATCTGCCCATGCACATCAGTAGGTGTTTTTTTTTCTCTGTCGTTATCTTGCTCTGGGTTTCGCTTTTCTTTTGTTGAAGCTGGTTCTGACTGCTTGGTATCTTCTCAGGTACTGGAAAAAGAATCTTCGTTTTCTAACGGATACTCTCTTGTGAGTTGTCTTAAGTTTTTATTTTTGGTTGACAACTATTATGAGAAAACCTTTACTACAATAAGTCTCTTCTCCCAAGCTTGGTGGAGTCGTTACTGACCGAATAATCCCTACGAAGCTCTAAAAGAATCAAAATGCACGATTATTATAAAACTTGATCTTGCTTAACGGGAAGAGTTTACATATTGAGCTAGGCCTCAAACATAATGAGTTCTTCATGCTTGATGAAACTTATGTTCTATTGGTTAAGAAATAATGTATCTTGAATTAGAAAACTTTTAAAATACAGTAACAACTTGAGGAGTATTGTACATACAAAGAGATATTTATTTGGAGCACATTGTAACAAACATTTATACAAGACAAAGATTTAAACTAAGGATGTGTTTTAAATTCTAAGATTGTAAAACAATAATGTGTTTAAATTGGTATTATATTATAAGATAAGATTGGTGCAAAGAGGATATTAAAAAATGATGTCAATAATGCAAAATTTGATTTTTTTTTCTTTCTTGAAACTAAACATTTATATAATAAAATTAAGGAGGTGTTAAAGCCACACTCTAATTTTGTTAAAACCACAACCCTATTTTTCCACTAAATGGTTCAAATTGTATTAGTCCCATGTCCTTGACTCCACCATCCTATCCCGACCCTCCCTATCCAAATGCCACCCCAAACCCACTCCAAACCTGCCCTAACTCCACTCCATTCCTATCCTTGTCTCTATAGTCAATATTATTTTATGGTTGTCCTTGAAGTTCAAATTTTTCACATCTATTGTAAATCTATATAATTGGATGTGAACAAGAATTTTTCTCTACTTAACTTGATGGTTGCATAACACAATCAAGTTTCATTAGAATTTCTATTGACTTTGGCTTTGAAATTAAAGAATTTCCATGGACTAGTTGTTATCAATTTTTTTTTCTTTTTTTCTTTTTTCTTTTTTTTATCTTTCTATTAAAACATGAACACCATAATTTAAAAATCTAATAATCTTGAATTATTATTAAATTATAAATTTAATTTTGAATATATAAAATATTAAATCAAATCAAAATATATATTTTGCAAACTAATAAAAATGTACAATATCATTTAAATGTTAGATAGGTTACTTGATTTATCTAAATTACTAATTTTTAGATTTCTATTTTTTTCAAAAAATATTAGAAGATTTTATCATATTTTTTTACAATTATGCATAAAATATTGAATTTTAATTAATGTTTTTTCAATCTTGAATAATATTGTAATTTTTTTTTTCACAAAACTTCAATTTTAAAACGAAATCCTCTTTAGAAGCTCCACATTTTAAGTACTTAAAAATAGTCATTATCCAAAACATTTTATGTAATTTCTGAAAGCTATTGGAAAAAAAGCTACTGGGTATGGAGTGGGGATGGGGGGTTGGAGACAAGGATGGAATCAGGGATGGTGAGGACAGGGTGGAATTGGAGTGGAGTTGAGACAGGGGGATCAGGGACATGGGACTAGTACAATTTGAATCATTTAGTGGGAAAGGGAGATGTGGCTTTAACAACTTCTTAATTTTATTTTCTTAAAACACTATTTATTTTTATTTTTATCAAATTCACTATATTAAATTATAAGTGAAAGTTTAATTTATAATCAATTACTATTGCATAAACATCTTTCATTTACTCTTTTCTTTGTCATTATTTTCAGCTAATTTTACCCTTGTCAATTATCTATTTTATCCATTTATGGCTAAAAAATAAATTATCACAAATAATTCTTACATTACTTTATTACATTTTACATATACCTCTAACAACTATATTTGGGCTAATTCTTTTTCTTTTTCTTTTAGAACAATGAGAATTTGTCCAAAATGTATGTATATATATATATATATATATATAATTTATTCTAAAAAACTTTTTATAATTTAAATTTATTTTGTAATTTTTTCTTATATTGTAATGATACATAATATGAAATAAGAATAAACAGAATTTCTACAACTTTTGGAATTCAAACCTAAAACCTCACATGCCATACTAGTCTCCCTTGTCTCACACTCCAAAGCTTCCATTTCCTTTTCATCACTCTAAAAATTCAAAACAAGTGATACTAGGCCCACTGACTACCTCTCTACAAGAGCAAAACCATCCATCTAAATGACATCATCTAAATGACATTCATCCACAATGATATGTGGTGGTTCTATGTATCTATTGGTGGTTCTATGTATCAACATGGCATAGTAAAACCTTATCAGTGCTTTGTCCTTAATAGAATTAGCTCCTGAAAATGAGATCTTGACTTCTTATCATCCGTTGTTTGAGGTCGGGGCAAGGATCCATGGTCCTCGGAATTGTTCTTCCAGATCAACAATGCGAGTGAAGGATTGAAGGAACAAGCATGAACACAATTTTGAAGCCAAGCAGACGATCAATTCGAGATCGCATGCACATCTAGTGGACATGAAGTGTAAGTATGGGACTACAAAATTGCGTTTCTGTGAAGGTGTTGTCATCTGCTTGTGGTTTGAACACTTCATATCAGCGTTTGGTGCATTATAATGTTGAACATATATTTTGTAACTCAAAGCAACCAAAAGTGACATTTCACATGGAGCATCTCTACAAAGCTTCTTGACTGCTTGGAATATAAGCATACACCTTGACTTCATCCCTAAACAATCTGAGTCTTTCTGAAGACCAAAGACTAAGGTGATGCAACATTTAACCACAGTTTTCAACAATGTATATTCATCTATCCAGCCAAATGCCTCCTGATAATACATAATGAGCGCCAGGGACAAGATCAGGGAATGTAACCAGTGATCAAGATGCATGTGAACTAAAGCGAACACACTCATAAAGTGCACTCAACCTTTGTAAAAATAGAGACACAAGTTCATAAATCTAGTCCCAACTACGAAGTCAAACGTGGTCTAAACAATCCAGTAACAATATGCGAACATTGGAATGTCCAAAGCAAAAATAACCTTGTCGGAGTCAAAAAACCAAGAGGATAAACAGGTAGTTGTATACATCTTCGGCATCAATCAGCACCTGGAGCAATGGCTCCCAAAGTAAATCCTCTCTCTACATCACTAAGAACCTCTATTTAAAAGATCGCTTTCTGCAAATGTATGTTACAAGGGGCAAAAAAGCCGCAGCTGAGTAACCCCATAGTCCTCGAGTCGACGCATGGTTTTCCGTCACGCCATCTTTGAACATGAAGTCTTTGAACACGAACTTTCCACTCCATACCGCGATAACAGCTGTACAAGTTTATCTCTTGACAAAGGCTGAAACACAACAGAAAGATTCACTATTAGATAGTCCTTCAGAGCTTCAAGCACACATACTTTCAACTTTTTAAATCAAAACAAAATAAGAATATGTAATGTTTCAATGCACTTGAGAAGGATATGACAAACACCTTAGTTTGGAAATCATCTACACCCGCTTCGAAAAATAATTCTCTATCCGAAGTCAATGCATTCCCAGTCAACGCGACAATCGGAGTTTTTACTCCCATATTCCTTAATTGCCTTGTAGCCTCATGGCCATCCATTACAGGCATCTCCTTGTCCATGAGCACAAGATCATATGTCCTCCCTTGTTTGTGCAGATCTACTGCAATTTGACCGTTCTCAGCTTCGTCACACTGCAAGTTGAGGTTTAGCAACACCTTCCGTAAAATTATCTGCAAACAAGACATACATTTAGAACTTAAGGATAAAACACATTGATAGAACTTGTGAAAAGTTCATAAATCAAAAGAAAAAAAGACTACAAACACCATTAGCAGTGACTCTGGATAGATATATTACCCTATTAATCAGTGTATCTTCAACAAGTAGCACTTTCCTCCGACATCTATCAGCCCCATCATGCTTCGAATTTTTTGTGCAGCTACCAGGAACATCACTATTCACATCCGGTACTTTAGTTGCCGGTTTCTTTTCCACTGCCGGTTTCACATCCTTCGTATGATTGGACCGCCTTCGGGATAGCGTGATCGATTCGTGTACAACTGTCATGCCTGAGCTATCCATTGATTGAGTAACCTCTGACTTCTGAAGCACAGGTGCTCCTCCATCCAACTTCCCTTGCTCCCGCTCATTACTCACATCCACTGGAACAAGAGGAAAAGGAATGGAGAAGAAAAAGGTGCTGCCACTGCCTTCTTCAGATTCTACTCCGATACTGCCGCCAGCTCGCTCAACAAATCTCTTCGCCATGCTGAGACCCAATCCAGAAACACCAGCCTTCAGAACCCATCCTGAAGTGACAAACGAATACGGTTCGAACAGATTTGCTTGATCTTGAGCGGATATTCCTGCATGAACCGACACTCTAAAACTTCAGAAAATACACCCCACACAAGAAATGCAGCTCAATATATAAATAACCAGTCCTTAAATTGAAGGTCCAGCCGGACGCTCATTTGCCAAGATTTACAGGTTTAAGATTAGAAAAATGAGAGACGCAACCACAGCCGTATACAATCCGCTAATCCAAGAATAACTGCCTGAAGATAGGCACCCTTGCATCAGTAACAAAGACCACCAAACTAAACGGCAACAAGTCAGACTTTGCTTACCGATTCCATTATCTTTCACAGAAAGCCGCAACCTCGCTATTTTCGCCTCACCACAAATCTTCTGTGATGGAATTTTTGACAAAATTTGGATGCCGGCAGCTCCAAGTAACGAACCCTCGCTGGTTTGAGGAGGCGGATTAGAATGCACGATGAGATCTTCATGATTCTCGCGCTCGGCGACTTCTTCGCACTGTAAGTCCAAATCCAATTTTCCCCCGGATGGTGTAAACTTCACGGCGTTGCTTAGAAAATTTCCTGTATCAAAGGAAATAACAAGCTCAGGACTATATGCTCCTCACTCAGCAACCCTAGGAGTTAAGAATCAATAAAAATAAAAATAAATAAATAACAGCCAACTCTTCCAACGTCTCCAAAACACTAGAACGAAAAAAGATCAAGAACACACTCACCTAAAGTCTGCACTACTCGCTGCTTATCTCCAACCACTCGATGCGATGTAAGCAGTTCGCTTGCCACACTGTCGATGTTCATGTTAAATACAATGTCCTTCTGCTCCAGCAGATCCTTAAGGCCCCAGGATAAGAACCTGATCACGGCAAGAATGTCAAACTCTTCCTTGTGAAGTTCCATTTCACCACCTTCCCATTGACCTGCACATAAAATGCATCTTAACCTTTAAAATCATCACGAATCAACTGCAACAGGACGGGCAAAAGAAAGCTAATTCCAACTTAAATATAATGAGAATAAGAACAAGAGAAAGCAACACCTCGAGTACACTGCATTTTCATCCCGCCAAGTGAATAAGTTTCAACCCAACGAGTGACAGGAAGCTTTCACCATACCCATATCAGTGACATCGTCGAGCACGCTTGTCATCGTCTCCGCACAGTCTAGCATCATCTGAACCAAGTCCATCTTGTCTGCTGCGCTTCCTAACACGCCACCTCCATCTCCGAGAGCTCGCATGTGACCGAGTCCGAGGACGATGGCGTTGAAAGGCACTGTACAAAACAGTTAAGAACCATGAGAAAATGAATTGAAGAATAGTATGATGTGAAAGAAACATGTGAGTCCAACATCCATATTGTTTCGGAAAGTTAAACCTTCAAAGCTTTGGGGAGGAGCACGTTCCGCATATTCTTACCTCTTATGTTATGGAAGACGTAAGCCATAAACTGCTGTTTAGACCGATCGGCTTGTCGAACCTTCTCATCGGCTTCTTCCGCCTGGCGCCGGTTCTGGTCGTAGTCATCACAGTGGCCACAGCTCGTCGTAAACATCGAGGCCCATCGCCACGACCGACCCGACAACCATGTCCCAGCCATTACTACGAACCCCGCAGTAAACAGGCCTAACAACGAGCATGCCTTAGCAAACAGCTTACAATGAAGATATCCAGTGTTACTGCTGTCACGAAGAGCACTGGAGTTATTGCAGTACAACTTAGACTCGTCTACATAGCGACTGCCCGTAGCAGATGTCAAGAATCGTATGCACAGATACAAAGTAAACATGGCCCCCACGAAGCTGAGCAGTGTCGACCCAGCCTCGAAAACTAGAGTCGACTTGGAGTGTCTCTCAGCTTCAATGTCGATATCAAGTGTACAATATCCATCACTGCCGTCGCGAGTCGATGAACTACTCACGCTTGTGCGTCGCTTAGAGTATGTTACATTCCTAGGATTGTTGTCACTATCTACATGCGTCTGAACCTTGGTCGACTGACCCACATACTGGCTGATAGAGTATTCCTTGCCCACAGGGAGGCTCAAAGTGCGCCTGTCATGCAACGAATAGTTCTTCAATACAAAACTACTAATGTGACCGTTCTTCCCGGGAGTAGAAGACGAAGAGTACGTCTCCTGCGAGAACTCGTGAGACTCTCGCGAAACTTGCCTCACTAGCCCACCTTTGCCATTGTTTTGCCCTGATTTTCCATCACTTGCGCATCCATCCGATTTCATGTGGACCCTGGAGCCGTGTGACAACCCTAACTGCATCTCTTCTCTCACCTCGCTAACTGTATGGACCAAACTACTAAGGTTGGAACCAAAATCATGCTCGAACACTGCGCTGTTGTGGCGTACTAGCGAGTAGCTGCCTCTCGTTGGCTCCCGCATCTTGCTTCCTGCCAAACCAGCATCTCCACTGCAGTCATTCCCTTTCCCGGCCCTGAGAGAATATTTCATACACAAACTATGCTGTTGGAGTCGTCGATTCCTCGATGTCGTTGGTGCCCCAGCCTGCTTGATTCTCTCACCGATGTGAATCCACCTTGGCCTACAACTGAGAAGCCCTTCCTTCCGATACGTTTCAGTTCATCTTGCCAACTCCGAGCAGAAAACAAGTGAAAAACCTAACCGAATCTGAGCGGAACCATTGTTCCGCTTCAAGAGTAACCTGGACAGAAACCGTACAAACTGGTGTATAGACACAGCAACGGACTAGATCTGCGAACTGTGCTGGACGGGGTTGCTTTGAACTCCTCGACTTGTCCCGTGTGAGGGCGCCGAAACGACGCGGGCATCTGAGTATCGCCCCAGGAATTCTACCCAACCCTCGAGTCAAACACACACGCGTCCGTTGCCCATCTGCGCAATCCTCGACGTCGAATACCCAGTACAGATCTGCTCCTATCTTACAAAACACCCTTCTCTCAAACCCGCCCGACAACTGCTTTTCTATCTTACTCGCACACACACGCACTCACTCTTTTACTCTCCCCGTGTTTCCGCCTGGTGGTGCTGCTGCAAACTTCCTTCGATGTCTGCACTACCAAAGCTCTGAATGAAATAATGGGTGGGGAGGGGGGGGGGTGGTTGTGTGCGTTGTCTGGGTGCGATGCAAGGGTGAGTGTGTCCTAGCGTGTGTGTTCCAACAGCGTGGTCCCCAGTGGCAAAATGCTAGTAAGAAATGAGCAGCGCTCAGGTAGAAACCCAGTTCAAAGCAGCGTAGAAAGGAAAGGAAAGAATAAAAAAAGGCACCAAATTACCTGGTAAACCCCACCCCCCACAACCCCCTCCTTACAAGTAGTAGTAAGAAAGTAAGCAAGTGAGCAAGCAGTCCTCAGCAGGCCAGGAAGACACGTGGGTCTGCTTTGTCAAGCACACACACTCACTCACACCCTCTCTTCGTTCTCTTCTTCTTCTTCTTCTTCTTCCATTTCGGGACATACCGTATATTTACGGAATACAGGCTGGCTCCATCTCCATGCGAGAACAACAACATTCTCACTCTGTCTCACTCCCTCTTCCTGATTGATACGTACACCGCTTCACCTGTACACACCCATAACGTAGCAGAGCATTCCGTGGATAGATGGATGGATGGATTGATGGAAGGATGGGTGCTGCTGCTGCGGCACTGGACGGACCCTACGAAGAATCTCCCTCTCAGCCAGCCAGCCTAGGCGGAAGGAGGAGGGAGGGAGGAAGGGGAGAGGTTGTGGCGATGGGAGGCTGTAGCAACCCCCCCGTCCGTCGGCATGTGCTTGATATTGAACGACAGAATATTGAATAAAAAAGAAAACCCACCCTTGGATCTCCGCGCAAACCAAACGAATCAGATCTCCGCGGGACCAAGTATTCCGACACCCGTTCTAAGAGGTTGGCGTGCATCGTCAGAGTTGACCGTAGCGGAAAAAGCACGCCATGGGGTGCAATGGGATGCGGAGATTGGTGAGGAAGCGAGGGAGGGAGGGCCCGGACTGCAATAAAGGAAGGAAGGAAGGAAGCAAGGAAGCAAGGAACTGGGTGTGGGGCGAGTGCTGGTACTCACCCAATTGTTAGATTATTGATTGGGTGAGTACCAGCAGCACCACACCAGCAACCATTCCCCACTAGTTACTGCATTCCTTCCCGAGCTGCTGCTGCGTCGTCTTCGTCCCCACTCCGCCGCTCCACATTTGCCAACACGGGTCTCCTGGCCGGCTTTTGTTGGGTTTTACTATTATATTATTATTATTTCATAACTAATTGTTTTCCTTCCTCCTCCTTGTTTCAAACAGCGATTCCTCGCCTGCAATTACTCCTTCCGATTGGCTCTTTGTAGGGCGATGCCGTGCTCGGACTCCATCGCCACCTCAGTCTTCTTCGTCGTCGTCACATTCTCCGACAGTCCATCCCCCTCCATACGCAGTACGAAAACGTCATGTGGTCTTATTGCTGCCATCACGCTTGCTCCTCCCCCCCTATTGCCCTAAACCCGTGCATGCATCCCTATCAGCTCTTCACGCTTCCCAAGAGCTTTTTGTTTTGGGAGTATTCCCTCCCCTTTCTTAGTAGGTGTGGAAATGGGGAATGGGCTTTGTGCGTTCTTCCCCACTCCAGCACACACGCGCAGTAAGGGGGCGAGGTGGGGGGGGGGGGTGTGTGAGAGAATGAGTGAGCACACTTCTACAGATTTTCGAAAGGGTGGTGCTAAAAAGTAAAAGTGAATCCCACTGCGTGGGATTTTTTTCACTTTGTATAAACCCTCTCACTGAAGCAGTATTCGGCTTTTGTTTGCATTTAATACTTTTTGCAGTTTATCTAGACTCTATCCAATGAGGATTCTGTGATGTTTCTGCTTGTGGGTTATTGTTTTAATCCACTGACATGGTTTCAAAAAAAAAAATGTTGGTGCAAAAGTTTGCTGTTGGTGAGAAAAAGTTAAGAATTACGAGCAAGTGTATTTTCTCGTAAACTAGTATATGTAGAGTTGTAAAGCATACTATGCACATGTGTCTAATTACAGGTATACGGCAATGGGGGGGAGGAGCAAGCGTAAGAAATATATATTGCAAAAATAGAACAAGACACACAAGGACTTTTTTATTTTATATTTTTTTAATACTCTAAAACTTATTACCAGACATATGATATTGAAGGACTTACAGTTGTAAATATCTACACTCCCTGTGCTCTTTACTAATGCTTTTGTATTGATTTCCTACAGAGGCTTGAAATTTTGCATTAAATCTTGCACCACTGCAGCTTAATGAAAATAAAAGGACAAAAAAATAAAAAAAATAAAAAAAATGTAATTGTATATATATGTATATATGTATTCATACAAAAACCTTTAAGAAAACATAAATATCAAAGACATGCAACTGGTCAAAATACAATGTTTTTTTTTACTGGAACATGATTGGTTAACAATATTAATAAATTGGGTCAATAATACTTTGATTTTTTGTGTTCTTATTTTTTATTTTAATATTCATCAGCACATCATTTAAATATTTGTTTGTGTTGTTGAACTATCATGATATCAACTATAATCACCTCCTTCAGTTCTTTTGGTGTAAAATCCAGTAGACAATTGGTCATCAACTAGTGTCTTTCTAATAACTTGAAAGCAAAATTTCACCATGTAGCCAGGTGATCAAATCTGAGTTTATAGTATGCAAAAAAAAAAAAAAAAAACAAAATAAAATAAAACAAAACAAAAAAACAGAGCCAATTGATTGAAAAAGAAAGATGTTGTAATGGGCAATAATAATGCTTCTGAAAGAAAAAAGAAAAAAACAAAAGAAAAAAACAAAAAACAAAAACAAACAAACAGGAACATAGGATCTGGATGCATTCAGACCAGGAAGAAGTATTGCTCCTGTACATTCATTTAACCTTCCCCAAGCATATCCCCCCCTACAGTGTTGGCCTTTTTTTTTTATTGTTAAAATGATTGGAACATGATCCAGCTAGAAATAGACTGAATAGAATCCAATATCTAGTATAGTTGTAACACCACTTGAAGTGGGGAAAAATAAAATAAAATAAAATAAAACTTGATTCAGTGACAAGCACACGCTCTCACACTCTCGTGGATTACAGACAAGTTGAAGTGACCCTTGTGTACATAATCACAGTGGCATGATCACTGTATAGATCAAAGTGCAAAGCACGGGTCTTTGTGGAGTGGAATATTAAACAAAGACGAGAATGACAAACATTCAAATAAAATAAAAAATAAGGGGGAAAAAGGGAGAAAAAGAAGCCAATAGGAGTGAATGGAGATGTGCAACCAATCATCCCCCCTTCCCCGCAGTTCCATCACCCGGAATTCCACATGTGCTGACTCAGCACAACCAGAGTCTCCAGCAAGGACTGATTGGACCCCTGTTGAGAGGATGAGGTGGACCGGGAAGGAGTTGGCCAGCGTGTGCGCCACCTCGCGATGCACATGTGATGGTTCCCATTCCAGGTCTTTCAAGAGGGGTTGGATCTGGCATTCCACGTGGCCAGCGAATTTGCTGAGTTGGCAAATCCCATGCCCTCGTTTGCTTGAACGAATATATTTCACACTGCAAAGCTTCATTTTTTCTCATCCGTGTCAGCATTTAGTGGGATGTGGGTAAATATTTATTATTGAAATTCATAACAAATTTTCACGAGAATGCACTTGCATGTAAAATTTTGGTCATCAGGATAAAACGTTGTTGAGGGTGAAAAAGGAAGAGCTGGGAAGTTGGTGTGTCTACTCTTTTTATATTAGTATGTGCATATATGGAATAAAACACTACCAACGATTGTGATTTGAATGGATTTTGTTTTGAAATGTTAGAATGGAGGACTGTGGTATCATATCGAATAATATTTTTATGTCGAAAATGGATTATATTGCATTTGGTGCCAACAACGATATTATTTTCTTATTTTGGTGTTCTTTAAATTTTCCAACCACTTTTTGCTTCTTGGTTCAGAGTTAAATTAAATCTGATCCAATTGGGTAGGGTATTAACATTCACTCCACAATTTTGGTTGCTTTAACCATCAAATTGTTAACGACCCCTACGTCTGTTGACTGCCAAAAGTTACTGGCTTATAGTTTTTTCACGTGATTACAGTTTAATCTTAGAAGGTTAGTGTACATTTTTAGTTCAGTACAATCACATTATTTCATTAATATATTCTTGTTGAAGATTGTCCACTGAATGTTGTTTGGCTCAATTGACAAAATTCAAAAAAACCAATTCAATTCAGTTTTATTGACTTTAAAATCATGCAATTGTAGTGCATGGACTACAGTAAAAATGTGAGCCCGTCTTTGAAAATAGTGACTTCTATTTGATTGTGACGATCATTATTTAAATGTTACATTAGATGCAATTCAGGATGGTTTCAATGTACTGTGAAATGTACAATGCATAGATCCACTGGACACTGTGACATTTGTTGGGTACGGTTTGTACAAGTTAAAGTTCACAGTTTTATAGTTTGTTAAAGAAGAAGCACTGCTATACTTGTTCATTATTATAAGCCCAATATCTTGTCAAACAAAAAAGTCAAATTCATCCTTCTACATTAATTTTGGGCAACAGAAGATATGCACCAACAAGTGATTTGAACTAACAGAAGAACATTTTAATTCGAATAATCTTGTAATTTTATGAGTAATATTATCTAAACAGATAAACAATGTTTTCAGGTGTCCTTCCCAAACGCTTTTTGTTATTTGCATATTACATCACCTTTTTTTGGTAATTTAATTGTAAATAAAGCATACCTATGAACATTGAGCAAGCAGCATAGTTACCTATATATATATATATATATATATATACACACACATATGTATAATTTAGTTGGGGCCCAAAACTTTCCACCCCCTTTTGAGATGGTTTTGAAATGAGAGGAAAAATCTGTTTGTTGTTATTTAAAATATCTTCAGGAAAAAGACAAAAAACAAAACAAAAATCCCCAAAAATAAATAAACTAGGGGGGGGGCACAAGACCTGTTTTCATTTTGTCAAAAGACTCTATCTTCAACACACACACATACCTGTAACAATAAGTCATAACAAAGCATTTCCCAGTTCTTAGATTACTACTATGAATCTCCAGAGTTTTGAAGTTGTTTGAGAGGTCGATGGAGTTCAATGCAAAACCCATATTGTTTAGTGTTACTTTTCTTTCCAGATCCAGCATGTGCAGCAAATGACCCTTGGTTAGCATGACGAGGAATCTCGCCCTCCCACTGTTTGTTCAAAATACAAAAGTTCCAATTATTTATTTCTAAATATCACCACTTCTGG